AGCTTCATGGCAGGAATAGTATACAAGCGATTAACACCTGGGCTGTACCTGTGATAAGATATGGAGCTGGAATTCTCTCATGGAATGCTGGGGAGACCAAAGCCTTAGATGTCAAGACCCGGAAACTGATGAGGATACATGGAGCTCACCACCCCCAAGGAGATGTTGATCGGTTATACGTCAGCCGTCAACTGGGTGGCCGTGGGCTACATAGTATAGAGGAAGTCGTTAAGAGAGAGGAGAATGCACTCACTACTTATGTGGTGAGAAGTAGAGACCCAGAACTGATTGCTCTGAAGGACTGCTTTGTCAAAGACAAGATACTCTTGGGTGAAGAGATAGAGAAAGATATTGACCGAACACAACGCGAGGAAATCCGCAAGGAGAAATGGACTGCTAAAGTGATGCACGGACAGTTCCCAAGGCAGATGATGGGTACAGCAGACCCGTTAACCTCTTGGAACTGGCTCACCCAACAAGATTTGAAGAAGGAGACAGAAGGATTGTTGATAGCAGCCCAAGACCAAGCACTTAGGACTAATTACGTGAAGCACAGGATTGACAAAACACCTGGCTCTTCTCCCCTCTGCAGACTCTGCAGAAATCATTACGAGACAATAGACCACATACTGAATGGGTGCCCAAAACTTTCACAGACAGAATATAAGTGTCGGCATGACAAAGTAGCTGCCGCATTGCACTGGAGTCTGTGCAAGGAATACGGCTTCCCACGCAGTAAAAGGTGGTACGAACACCGGGCAGAGAAGGTGCTGGAGAACGGACAAGTCAAGATATTGTGGGACTTCCATGTCCAGTCGGACCACGTTATCGATCACTGTAGACCGGATCTCCTCCTGGTAGACATGGTAACCAACGCAGCAACCATCATTGACGTTGCAGTCCCAGGAGATACCCGGATCTTGGATAGAGAACAAGAAAAGATTCTGAAATATCAAGACCTGAAAAGAGAAATTAAGAAGAACTGGAATTTACGAAAGGTCACAATCGTCCCTGTGGTGATAGGCGCATTAGGAACTATCACCATAAACTTTCGTAAACACCTCGACGCAGTCCACTGCAATCTGAGCATCTCTAATCTCCAGAAGACAGCTCTGCTTGGATCAGCCAGGATTCTCAGGATGGTCTTAGACATATAATATATTTGAGTGTATAATACACTGTAAATACTCTTTTTTTTTAGTTTAATTTTCACTGGGTACTCTAATAAACACTTTTTACCTGGTCCTCTTATTTTTCTTCCCTTGCTATGCAAGCCCTGTCTCTTGTTTATACAATTTTTAACTCGTATATTGGGTAGATTGAGTATTTATTATGGATTTTATATTGTTGTTAGCCCTGCTGATTTGTGTATTAGTAATGATTACCTATCTGATGGACTACGGTATATACAGTTGATGGTAGTTTTCTCTTATTTTTCTTCTCTTGCTCTGCAAGCCCTGATTCTTGTATAAACATATTGTTTGATATAATATTGTATATTTTTGTATTGATTGTGGTATTTTGTGTGCCAGATTCAGCAATGGGTTCTTGCTGAATCACTGTATATTACACTCTGTGACTAGTCCCTTTGATCCATCTCTTGCCCTGCAAGCCCTGTTTCTTGTCTATACAGCATATAATTATCATGTATCACATTGTAGTATGTAATAAACATTTGTAGTAGTGTAGGATTGTTTGAATTTCTTTTTGCTATGTTTTATAATATTTATTTGTATAATTTGTGAGTGTTTCTCCCGCTTTTCTTCCCTTGCGCAGCAAGCCCTGTCTCTTGTAAAAACAACCTTGAAAGTTTTGTAGATACATATAGTTTCTACACCTTTATCCTCTGGTCCCTAGGGTCAGCTGATCCCGGGCCAGAGGAAAACTACCGACTGCCAAGGTCTGACGCCTAGGCAGTCGAGACCTCTTATTGAGACCCTTTATAATAATAATAATAACGCTTTATTTGTATACCGCTTAGGCCGTATAAGCGACCAAAGTCCAAAAAATGGAGTTGATACTGGCCAACAAAGCGGTGCAGATAAATTTACCTTAGTAGTCCCTTTTCTAATCAAAAATTCAAATTTATAAATTGTAGATTGATCTTAAAGTCCTGCGTCCATGACTACTGAATCACCAAAAATACTGTTCGCACATACAGGATAGGCTTGATGAAATAGATGGGTCTTGAGAGCCTTCTTGAAAACATCTAGTCGAGAGATGGAGCGTAGTGAGTAGGGAAGTGTATTCCAGATTTTAGGAGCAGTGTGAGAGAAAGCACCAGCTGTAGCCCTCAGCCGTGATAAAGGAGGGCGTTCCAGTAAGAAGAAGTCATGGTCCATTCTGACATGATGTTTACTAGTGTCCCTAATTTTGACCATTGTCCTTAGATATTCAGGAGCACAATCGTTTAGGCACTTGAAAACCAGTAACGCTATCTTGAATTTGATTCGCATTGCTACAGGTAAGAAGTGTAATTCAATCATATAGGGTGTGATGGGCTCCTGTCTCAACTTCCCATGAAGTCCGAATATGAATCTCACAGCAGTATTCTGCACTTTTTGAAGTTTCTGGAGAAGTCTTTCAGAAAGGGCACCATAAGTAGCATTTCCATTGTCCAGAATGGAATGAATTGTAGCGTGTACCATTTGGATTTTGAGCTCCTTACTCAGTTTGGAACCTATTCTGCCAAGATTTCGCTGATTTACATAGCAAACTCTGACCCCACATCCAGAAAGTTTTATATTTCCTCCCAGATGCGTTTTTTCTAAATTCTGTGGCCCACTTGCTTCGCTCGCAAGTTTGCCTTTTTTTCTGTGGCCCGCTCGTTTCGCAAATTTTTACATTTTAAGCGAGCCGACTCTTCCAATCTAGCTGCGCAGCGAGCAAGCTGTGGCAGGGGTCTGGGGGCGGAGCCCCTTGGCGGAGCCCCTTGGCGGAGCCCCTTGGCGGAGCCCCTTAGCGGGGGCTAGGGGGGCGCAGCCCCCCCGGAAATTTTTTGCGAAATAGGGTGTTTTAGACGACATTTGGCATTAAAGAAATTTGTAGGACAGCAATAAACTGGGATTGAAAAGAATCAAGTACTCACGTTAATTTGGTAACTTCACAACAGCAATCTGCATTCTCCAATCAGAATATTTCACTGTGTTCCAAAACTGACAGGATGTTCCTCTTTGATTTTTATACAATCGAAAATTTCCTCAATTAATTTGTCTTTATTCCAAAAAATATTTTGAAATTTAGGAGTAACTTCTCAAAAATTTCCTCTTTTTCTCAAAAATTTCCTCTATTTCCTCTTATTTCCTCCCAGGCTGCCTGGCAAGATGGCGTGTTTCTGGATGTGGGACTCTGACAACGTTGTTGATCTGTGCCTCTAAATTGAGATGGTTGTCAAAAATAAATCCCAGATTCTTTGCTGACTTGGTAGGTTTAATGGAGCATATGCTGTCAAGATTGAATTCAACTTGTTTTGGAGCTTTGGAGTTTGTAGAGATCTCGATTATCTCACTTTTATTGTCGTTGAGTTTCAGGTAGTTCTCACTCATCCATGATTTGATGTGCTCGAAACATTCTTTCAATTTGCTCTTCATAGATTCAATGTCCATGTCTTTCTTAGGATCAAATGAGAAGTATATCTGAGTATCATCAGCATATAGATGGATTTGGAGACCATGCATACTTGCAATATCTTGTTTTTTTTTTTTTATTTGAAAATTCAATTAATCATTATATATATAAATCAAGCGTTACATTTCAGCCATGCAAAATTACAATGACATATTTTGATATACTAAATGGTAAATGGTACTGCAATATAAGTTGCTTAATGTTTGGCCGGATGACAACTAACGAGAAAAATAAACTTGATTATATAATAATTAATTCGGCTGAACCAACACATAGCAAGAGCCACATTAACGTTGGGGCCGTCAAAAATTGTAGCTGTTTAGTGTAAAGGATGAAAAATATAGGACCAAGAATTGAGGTGACACAAATGGAAAATTTTAAGAAATTACGGATCAAAACACAGATCCAAGGACAGAATAAAACAAATATTCAGAATAAAACATTATTATATTCAAATCTCTTTATTCAACAATATTAAATCATTATATAACCTAATTTGTGGCTTGATCGTTATGTTAGGGCTATTCTGTTAGCTGATGCTGACAGGCACCGCATGGGGCAGAGATTTAGGACCATTACGCTGGAGGCTTACAATGACCCTTTTTGAACCCCATGGCAGTGCTAGTTTTATTATGGTACAGATTGTAAATCGAAGTTATGAAAACGATCAAGTCACTCCTGTTTTACACTATCAACAGCTACTTAAAACAACCTAGATTGTACAACTCACTTTGAGGATTAAACTGTTAAGTGATGAGTGATTGGGCTCATTAAACATTTTAGTAGCGGAGACATGCGGATCAGCTTCTTGAGGTTCTAGTATTTCATTCAGACAAGAAGTTTTACTTTTTCAAATTTAGTTGTTCAAGCTGCCTGAGTTCAGAAAGTTTGCCAAAGGGGCCCAGGTATTCTTGTCACCTTTACCCTGAGACAAGGACAAGGAGACCCCACTGCAGGACCATACATGCTAGGTTCCAGTTGTCCAGGAAACTGTACGTAGCTGGTCAACTAGTTTTGAATTCAGACTAGGCTTGATGAGTTCTTGGGTTTCTAAAGGTAAAATCTGATGGTACCAGGTTTGTTCAGGCGGACATGGAAATTATGCGATGAATATATAGGTATATAAAAATCATATCAATATAAAAATAGATCCAAAAATAGATCTAAAGATTCACACGGCAGTCAGGGAACATCCAGACAGGATGCTTTTGAGACAGGTATAATTAGCGCTTTTGTAATTAATTGTATGCAAGGGATGGGATGCTGGATAACTAAGCTGGTTGTGTAGGATATTTTTTTACGCGATTTAAACACGGGTTTTCTAGTTTGTTATAAAATCGTCAATACCTCGAATTATTTATAGCACCTCACAGTCGGTAATTTGCTTCATTTATTTATTGTGTTAACCTATTACAAGCTAACTTGCCCCTTCTTTTAGGGTTAATATCGTTCATCATGGTTAATCAGCAGAATGAGATGATGCGACTTCTGTGTTCAGGAACAACAATACGGTTTGGCGCTGTTCAAAAGGTTTCCAACATTGCAGACGTAGAACTTTTAGGTGACGAATCAAGAAAGGAACAAGTTGTTCCATCAGTAAACCTCAGAAAGCGACACAAAATTTGTGTCAAAGGATTTGATGTTCCAGAACCTAATGACACCTTTATTGAATTAAAACAATCTCATCCAAAGATTCTCAAATCAGTTCTGAAAAAGATAACTGACAGTGGGATCACCGCCCCCACACCCATTCAGATGCAGTGTATCCCGCTGCTCATGAGTAAAAGATCTGTTTTATCGTGTGCTCCCACCGGATCTGGCAAAACACTTTCTTTTATACTTCCTGTTTTGTCTCACATGAAGAAATCTGAAAAAGGTAGTTTTCGGGCACTAGTTCTGTCGCCAACAAGAGAGTTAGCTCAACAAACATATGGAGAGTTCAAAAAATTTGGTGGATCAAGGAAATTTTCATATCATTTCTTAACAAAAGCAAGTGCTAATTCTGATATACTGACCAAGGATTGTGGTAACAAAGATATCTTGATTTCAACTCCAAAGCACCTTCTTAAAATGTTAAAAGAAGATAAAATTGATCTCTCCAAGCTTCAGTTTTGCATACTTGATGAAGCTGATCGACTTTTTGACGTTCAGTTTAAAGAAGACATCACTCAAATCCTAGAATATATTGACCTAGTTAAGGTAACAGTTGGTCTTTTCAGTGCTACTCTTGCAAATGGAATTGATGAATGGTGTTTTAGCAACTTAGATAACTTTGTCCAAGTCTATATTGGTGCAGTGAATGGGGCAAATTCGAGTATTAAACAATCTCTAAAGTTTGTGGGGACAGAAGAAAGCAAGATTTATACTTTGCGGATGGTTATTCAAAAGGGATTTCAACCACCAATGCTGGTTTTTACCCAAACCAAAGACAGAGCAAAGCAAGTATATGAAGAGCTAAAATTGGTGGGCAGTAAAATAGACGTTATTCACAGTGACCTTGCTCAAATGAAACGAGGGGAAGCTATAGAAAACTTCAGAAGTGGCAAGACCTGGATTCTAATATGCACTGATCTTATGGGTAGGGGAATCGATTTTAAGAACGTGAACTGTGTAGTTAACTTTGATTTGCCTCAAACAAAAATTGACTACATCCATCGTATTGGGAGGACTGGTAGAGCTGGTAGAACAGGTGAGGCGATCACGTTCTTTACTGAGCTTGACAAGGAAAGACTCCCTAGCATTATAAATGTGCTGAAAAACTCGGGATGTGAATTACCTGACTGGTTGAAGAATATCAAGGGAATCGCTAGAAGGGACTATAAGAAGGCTACAAAGAAACCTGTGAAAAGGAATGATGTCAGCACTATTCCTAAATACGATGTAGAGAAAGCCAAAAAGAGGAAGGCTATCATCGCAGATTCAAAGGCCAAGAAAAAGGCAAAGTCAGAGAGTGACCAAAAAGGAAGTTAGATGTTTTATGTATCAATCTCATTGATTTTTAAGGGAATGTTTGTAGGTATCATTCTTTTAATGAAAATATGCTCTCATTTATAAATTTTGTGGGATATGTCACATGCAATATCATCCTCTTTCAGTATTTTGAGCAGTTTAAAGTTGTATACATGTATATCATGATATTGTAAAATGAAATGTATTACGACATAACATGTGACTTTCTATCCTGCCACTAGACATTTGTCATTGTGAAACTATTGCTAAAACAGATGATTCCTGAAATAGGAGAACGATAATTCTACTTTTAAATTGTGAAAATAACTGAATTATTTAAAATTAAAGAGGGTGTAATAACATGTTATTTAATCAATATCATCCTATGTAAAGTAGTGCGCAATAACAATGGGGAAGCGTGACAGAAAGACGGATGGAGGGAGTGACAGACTGACTCGTATAGCCGTGGTAAACACTGACAGGTGCAAGCCTAAGAGGTGTAACCATGAGTGCAAACGCTCATGTCCTGTTGTCAGGATGGGCAAACAATGCATTGAGGTTTGTTTCAAATTCAAGATCTGCTTTTAGTATCGTATTAAATTAAATTTGATTCTAAGTATATACAAACAGCTGTTTAATGATCATTTTATTTGATGGTCTTATTCTGAAATGAAAATTATACATAGTTTAATACTAGACTTAATTTTGATAGAATGTAGGTTTGTCCTTTTAGGAAATCAAAAACTTTATTTCCCGCTTTAGGTCACCTCAGAGGACAAGATAGCGTTCTTCTCGGAAGTGTTGTGTATTGGGTGTGGTATTTGTGTAAAGAAATGTCCCTTTGAAGCGGTCAACATTATCAATCTACCCTCTAATCTGGATGCGCAGACGACTCATCGATATTCTGCTAACTCCTTCAAGCTCCATCGGTTTGCTTTGTCTTTAATTAAAAAATAAACCTTCATATTCTGCACACGTCTTGTCGTGCAATAAAAAGGTCGTGTAATCTAATTTATAACAGTCGGAGAATCAACACACTCAAAGTATGGTAACATTACCTTATTTAGTAGTTAGAACTACCATATAAGGCATGTAACCATGGTGACACTACCATATAACTATATAAGGTAATATAACGTTTTCCCCACCCAGGCTCCCTACACCTAGACCAGGTGAGGTATTGGGTCTGGTAGGAACTAATGGTATTGGCAAGAGTACCGCTCTCAAGATTCTGGCTGGCAAGGAGAAACCTAATCTGGGACGTTTTGCTGATCCTCCTGATTGGCAGGTTAGTTAGGAGATAGCACGTGATGCCCATATAAGGAGCCAATCACATATATTATCATTTTTTACCCTACCCCTTTGCAACGACGTGTATGCGTAACTCACTTCCCGTAGGTGATTTCGTAATATACAATGAACACTGAACAGTGAACACCCTAAATATGTACAGTTTTACAATGTTTTATATGTATGTCAAATTGCTGTAATGAATCTCATTTGAGAAAATATTTATCTTAATTAAGAATCAGATATATTTTACTCCTAATTTGTGACAGCCCAACGTGTCCCTTGGCTATAGCTATGATCTCTTCAATGTTAAAAACGTCCCGTCTTGGAAGTTCTGGAATGATCGTTAATGTCTCACTTTGTTAAAACTTCAGGAGATAATCTCGTATTTTCGGGGAAACGAGTTGCAGAACTACTTCCGTAAAGTAGTGGAAGATGATCTGAGGTGTCTGATGAAGCCTCAATATGTGGAAACTATTCCCAAAGCTGCTCGGGTTAGTCTTATCTAGTTTTAACTACCTTATAAGGTAATGTTACCATTTCTTACTGTTAACAGTCATGATGTTTATTGAACTTACCTTAAATATCTAAACCTGTATCTCTCCTAACTCCTGTATCTACAGGGTCATGTGAAGGAGATCCTGGAGCGTCGTAATGAGGTGGGAAATATGGACTACATGGTGGAGAAGTTCGATTTAACCAAGGTTCTGGATCGTGATGTCAAGGTTAGTTTACACGCACTAGTGTCTAGTACTGTTTCCAGTTTCACTGAACCTTGTACGTATTGATTTTCACTGAACTTTGTTTTCTTCATAGTTTTATTGAGCTGTACAAGGTTATGTTTTAATCGGAAAAAACAATACAATATTCCCAATATTAAACAATTGAAACCTGTTTAGGCAGGCAGCGTATAATAAATATGTTAAGCTAAAAGTATGTAGTTGTTTAGCTAAACAGAGCAGACAATGTCATTATCCCCAAAATAGTGGTTCCTCATTTCACAGACATCGTGTCTGATTTGTTTAGTTTCCTCACTTCTGGTATTTGAACCTGAAACTTGGCTTGACAATGCATTTGTGTCTGATGTGCTATACTAAACACTCCCATTGGTCCCCATGATAAATTCTTAAACACATACTCGTACAGCTTTATCAGAACATTCCACACATCTTTAGCTACTATCTGTCTCTGAATGAGCGGGTTGGAGCAGTAGTATATCATAGAGTTCCAGAGAGGGGTAGCGTATATTGGCAATACTGTAATAAGCTGTATAGCTCTGTAGGACCAGCTCACACTCGTGTTAGTGATAACCTCTGGTATCGCTACCACTACTCCGGCGCTGCACACTGCTACTGAGGTCAGGAGCAGCTTCTTGCAGCGCGTCTTGTGTCTGACAATGTGGACTAGCATGATAGAGTACAGGGCTACAAGGAGGATCATTGGAACTGTGTAGAAAATGTGGGATTCTACTTGTTTGTAGTGCGTGTTGTTCCAGTGTAGTGTGCAGCGGTGCATTCCTTTCTGATACACCATCTGAGTAGTAATATGGTAATATGGATAATTAGTTATAATATATTATCAATATATATACATAATTAAAGTAATACAGTGTCCAAATTAATAAATACCACTGTATGATAATTTTGCCCCGTTACATTGAACTCACCTCAGAGTTGTTCAGTTTATACTGAACCAGTAACATGAGCGCATTGCACAGGGTAGGAATCCAGCAAATACTGATTAGAAGGAATGTAGCTGTCTTAGTCATGTGACTCCTGTGTATGAACGGAAACATAATAGCGAGGAACCTGTCCAGTGTCAGAGGCAGCAACACTGTTAATAGATTGTTCCTGAAATTAGTGGGATTTTCTTATAGAATATAGCGTTGTCGGCATAAAGTATATCCATAAAGTGTATTTATTGGGGTTTTTTTAATAAAAACCAGAATTGATTAAAGTGTTACTATAAATTCGACCAACATAGATATCTGAATGCGGACGATATAATTCCTTATTAAAGTCTGCTGCACCCACCAAAATAAGTGACTAACCAGAATAAGTGACCAAACAGCGGGTACACGTGACTCACCAGAATAAGTGACCGAATAGCGGGTACACGTGACTCACCAGAATAAGTGACCAAACAGCGCCCAGCGGGTACACGTGACTCACCAGAAAAAGTGACCAAACAGCGGGTACACGTGACTCACCAGAATAAGTGACCAAACAGCGGGTACACGTGACAGAATATACCCTCCTCCCCGCCGGGTCCCACTCCTACAAAGGCCTTGTCTATAACACCTAGTCCTCGTATAGTCCCCAGAATTCCTAATATCACATCATGACATAGGACATTCAGCACAAACGCGTTCTGAAAATGAATAATACATTTATTAAAAGCAAATAAGTCATTTGATTTTGCCGATTTAATTATTTTGCTGAGGAGGTCAAATAACTACATGCTTATTATTCTTTCAAAAGTTGGAGGAGTTCTCATAGCCATGATCTGCAATTTGATTACAAATAATACTTTTACTTATGATTATAATATACAAAAACCCATTGTTAAGAGAGGGAATCAATATTTCATTATTATTATTTGGATGAACAAAATGTAAATAGTTCAGAAAGAATTTTTACAGAGCATGTATTATTAGTGTTATTATTAGAATCTGACCTGTCCCCCGTGCAGTCTGATAATTCCAAATATAATGTTGTAAATAATCCAAACACAAAGCATCGACCCAGCCAGACTCACAATCACCATCAACCCGCCCTGCAAAAGTAGTAGTTAACCCCATATATGGGCATCACGTGCAATATAGTGTTTATTGTGAGGCTCAGGGTTTCTTGCTCACATACTGAAAGTTTTCAATTTCCTCGCAGATCAATTAACTTTATATGCAGAATCTAACATTGCAGATAAGATATCAGCGTTAAAACTGTACTTACAAATATGATCCTGAAGGTACAAATAGCATCAGTAGTACTTGTCAAACACGAATCAGTTGTTTCGACATTAAACCCCATTATTATATATGCGTATCACGTGGCTCTTGAACAGCCCCAGAAACATACAATAACGTACAAACAAGTGTGTTAACTATGTACAAAGCTACAACAACTGAACAACTACAACACCAAACGAACTAAGTCTAAATTGTAACAAAAACAAATACTAAAGCAACGTTTGCGTGGAAACAGTTTAAAGGAAGTTACGTGGGAATTAATTACCGTCGGGCCATGTTAATTGTACTGTTTCTCCGTAGTAAGCAGTCTAATGTTAGGTAATTACTAAGTTTTCTGCGGTTTGTTATAAGGATACGCTTCCTAGATTAAATCACAGCATAAGTTTCTCGATTGTTCCAAGTTTGTGTACAAGTCACCCGGAGTAAGAGGTGTGTCTGGCTCCTCAAACTAATTGAGGAGGAGCCGCTCCTCAATTAGTTTGAAACCTTCAATAAGCTGCTCTAGAGAGAGTTATCTTGATCCCAGCTCAAATATACGTTCAGAGTTAGTACGACCGAATTCTAGAGGTGATAACAGTGCAGTGGAAGTTGAAACTGGTGATAATACAAGTATACAATCAAGTATCCAGTTTCTGAGATGACAATAGTTTTGTGTTCACCCTCTTGATAACCCATACATTTACAGGCACTGTCCGGTGGAGAACTACAGAGGTTTGCTTGTTGCATGTGTTGTATGAGGGATAGTGACGTGTTCATGTTCGATGAGCCCAGCTCTTATCTGGATGTGAAACAAAGAATGCAGGCTGCAAGGACTATCAGGACTCTCCTCAAACACGACAAGTGTGTTCTTTTTCATGTATTCAGTAGATATTGAGAAACATTTTGTAAATTTAATCTAAAGATTCGTAAAACCTCGAGAGAATTTAAAAGGCGGTTTCAGGATATAATTACTTGTAATTTCTAATAATTACACTGTACACAAATTACACTACAACATTCCTTTAACACATTATATTCAGGTACATTCCTTTAACACATTATACTCAGATACATTCCTTTAACACATTATATTCAGGTACATTTTGGTGGTGGAACACGATTTGTCAGTGCTGGATTACCTCTCTGATTTTATCTGCGTTTTGTACGGGACTCCTGGAGCGTATGGTGTAGTTACTATGCCCTTCGGCGTTAGGGAAGGTTTGTCTATTAATCAACATTTGCCAGGTTTCACTTTTCATATTTCGGATTTTTCTATCAATAATACGAGATTTCAATTAATGAATCGAAATTCAACAGCATACAGTAATGTTAAATTGATAAGTCAAGATTTTAGTATGTTAGAAATTGCATGAACTTAAATCTTGCAAGTTTAAGGATGACCTCATTTTGAGAATGAGTCATTCTCATCATGCTTGGCGGTAATTCTGTCACGTTTTTGTCACCCTTTTACGTAACGCGTGTTGCTTCAAACTCAAACAAAGCAAAATAAGTAAATATAATTTTGCGCGGCGTGGGAAGATTGAGCTGTGAGCCTTGCGCAATTTATAAGCATCTTATTGAGTAATTTGATATAAGATAAGCAAATACCCCCTTATTTGAGAGCCTGGTATTATGTTCCTTAAGAATTTAATTAACCGGTTCCTTCATCCCAGAATTGCTAGCCATTTAGCTCGGATTTTGAAATAATTTAAAGGTAGAAAGACAGTCACTTTATTGAACCAAGTACAGTTGTTATCTTGAAATTTCTTAATTTGAGGTTGTCGTAAACAGTGCTACTTTTTAGAGGGTAAACATATGACACTGTAGTATGAACTGGTCTAGTGAGGGAATTTATAATGGAACTGGGCTGAAAATCAAATTAAAGTGAACGCATGGTTTTATCTTATGAGCTTTAGTAATTAGTGTGTTTTGGTATTTTCTAGAACCAACATACTCGCAATGTGCCTGCATTCAATAAAAGGCACAATACTCTATCTCGACCCACCATGAGAACTCTTTTGGAACGTACTCCCCCAGGAAGAAACTCAATAAATGTCCAGTAAACTTTCAAATCATCTTGCCTGATACCTCACTCACAACTCCACAAAAGGATATATCGCCATCACAAATAACCTTCTCTGGAAAGATCTAAGCCTGGAGAATTTGGAGGACGTACTTGTTACTGTTGTCCAGAATCGATCCTTGTCCTACATAATATAACAGAATAAGTAAGTATTCTATCTGCTGTGGTAGCTTCTTGGATAGTGGGGCTTCTTTCCTCCCCTGAGGGTCTCACATACCAGATCCTACACTGAGAAACCTTTGTCAATATTCCATTCCTGAAATATTTCCATTTCCATCCTGAGTAATGAGTATGAAGATGAGCGTTATGTGACCGCTGCCACCATTTAATAGCTCACTAAACAGCTACCCTCCTCGCCAGTATTCCACCTGTACTACAGACTTAGGACGTGTCTCAACATCAGAAGATAATTTGAAAATTAGGACCTGCGCCCACTTTTCTAATTAAATTCAACATCTGCTGCTGGATCATAGCTGTCCAGCCGTCACCAATTAGAATCTAGTTGGGTCGGCTGAGATAAGAGCCACTAGAGCTTCGTGGACTGTCCCTTTTTTGATACTTGTTTTACAATGATGATGCATCGAGAATTATAACACAAATTTAATTAATTTAATTGAAAGATTATCCTTATTTCTATCGACCTAGGAAGTAATGGCTATATTTGGTAAAGCTGAGATGATATATCACAATGGGACTCATGTCTTCAGAGAGGGCAACAACTGGGATGTATTCCTGAACCACTTCTTCGCCATAATCTTCATCTTTTGCTTACTTATCGGGATCTTCTTAAATCCCTTCATCATCGCCTACCACTCGAAACAAAAGAAATCATTTGCTACAATTCTGTTTCTACTCGTTACCTTAATTGATCAGATCAAAAGTCTCTACATTCCTGTGGTGCTCCTCCCAAAACTTCTATCTCCCCTGGAAGAAGATGACTACTACATCAACCTGGACTCAATCCCCTGGACTGGTTATTCTAACAAATTCATGTTATCGTTTAATTGCTTCGAGAGGTTCCTATTAGTCGTACCGTGTGTTTCCAGGTATTTTGTTTTAGTGCGTCCTTTATCTTCCGCTAGAAAACGAAATATAGTCTTCTCCGCAGTTCTCGTTTTTGTCTTTTTGTACTTCTTCTTGTTTCCTCTCCCGGATTATTTTCAGCCTATGGGATACATGAGAGTCCTTGACACAGCAATTGTTGTGGATGAATCTTACCTTACTTATTATGCCAGGCCTAAACTTTACATTGGTTGTGGTTCGATCTGCATATTCATGGTGTTCGGCGGATCTTATATTATTCTGACTATTCGTCACCTGAAGAACTCTGACACTGCTTCATCTGAAGTCTCCAGTAGGAACATTCGAAGAGGAATAATTTCTTTAATTGCGATGAATATTTTTAATTTATTTGGCCTTCTATCAAATGTTGGATACTATATATACAACATTTCAATTGTTAGAGTCACAGAAACCAATTTCTCAACAAGTTGGGACTTTGTTCAGTTCGGAGCAATTTATGGGACCCCACTCGTCCAGTCTGCTTTTAACTCCGTCTCGTTTCTATTTATATGCAGCGCATTTAGAGATTTTGTAAAGAAGTTGGTGTATCAAATCAAAGCTGGTCCGAACAATAATTTAGTACCACAGATAGCTGAGCAACAAACTCCTGCTCTGTAAAATATCTGCAGTTTCAAATATCATCGTGGCTGTGGAGACTACAAATGTCTAATGGGGAGTGATGTGGGTGGACACTGTTGCTTCAGAAACATCGCCGAAAGTTATACTCGATAAGGGCTCGTTCACATATTACGTAATCACTTTTTGAACAATTTTTAAACACCTCCCCCTCCGTAATTAGTTTTACACATAGCTATTGTGTCAAAATTACACTAGCGTAATCATTTGGAAACCCCCTCCCCCCTCGGCTGATTACGTAATATGTGAACGACCCCTAAAAAACTGATGTTATTTTATGCTGTACTACTGATAAAAAAAGGTGTCCAAAGTGGTCTTTCCAACGAGGAGGAAACTTTAACTCCTTTTATCTTGACCACAGCCCCCTACGAAGAAAAAGAAGAAAATAGATCGATTAAAATCATTAGATGATTCAGAAAGAAATGGGAGAAGTAAGAAAATGAACAAAACCTAATGATGAGGTGTTACGATATACTCAATGTTCACAACACTACTACTACCGGACACTACTACGACACTTCACCACGTGCCGTTATTCATCTGCAGTCTAATACCATCTTAACAGTGTGTTTATCAGTTAAGTGTGTTTAACGAGTAGAGATAGAGAAGAAGCTATTATTTCCATGCGGTGCTGTGTTAAGTTGTTCGCTATTAGCTTAAGTGTGTTTTTTACTCGTCGGTAATTAGCTTGATCGTTGTCTTGTTCTGTAGCATACACTGCACTGAGTTACCAGGAGTTACCAGGTGTTACCAGGTGTTACCAGGAGTTACCAAGGGAGCTGATCAATATCACATACTTGCTACAAGTGGGGAGAAATGCTCTACTTTAGACTTTACTTTATCCTCATGTTGGTGTTTCAGTAAGAGGAAGTGTTGTGTTTGTAACTAAGCAGTACAGAATATCACTGGAACTAGGAATTTTAGGAGATTTGTGTGAGGATCATGAACCTTGTACTTTTCAAGAACCCCCTCCAAGATGAACCTTGTAGCCAGAGAAACATAAACTAGCAATAGCTTGGGATCTTCTCAGAAAACAAGACAGTTATATTTGAAGTAGAACTGGATTTGTTATTTGCTCAGTGTTAATACACGTTCAACAGGTTTACTGTAAGAAACCATGCGAGTCTATTAGATTTTAGGATATCTCTTTTTTAGCAAAACGCTAATTAACATTAGGAATAAATAATATCACATTCAAGTATCCCACTGATACTTTTCTTGCTTCTTTTAGTAAATGTTTGTTTTTAAAGATTATAAATGGCGAGAATTCTAATTTTTAATTCAGTTCAATGAAAATGACTTCGTATTTGGACTAATTGTTTAGGATGACTCTGAGAGTATTATTTGTTCTTGTGGACATGTTAGTTTTTATGAATTATCTGTATATCATCCTGAACTAGACTGTTTATTATAACTATGCCAGGAGAAGTAAATACATAATTGTTATTATGATCAAAGTCAATCAAATATTTTGAGAAATTGAACCTTAGATATCTGAGTTATGAGCCAAAAGGCGATGCAGAATAATATTTGGATGAAATGTTAGACCTTACCTCTTGAAGCAGTGTTAGGGACTTCATTGGTAATAAGATTAATTAGAAGAAACATAATTTATGAGAGCCCTTGATAATCAAGGCATTTTAAACGCGCTGATTTAACCTACCTTACTCGGGAATATTATAGCGGGTTAAATAATGACTGGGAAAATTAATGACCGGGAAAAATATGGCGGAATTTTCCAAAACCCACCAAGCATCAAAATGTATTACTATTAGTTTACCTTATTCGGGAACATTATAGCGGGTTAATTTATGACTGGGAAAATTAATGACCGGGAAAAATATGGCGGAATTTTCCAAAACCCACCACTTTATCCCAGTCATGATATTCCCGAGTAAGGTAGACCACTTAGAAATATAAACATTAAACATTTGTAAATGTATTGAATAACAATTATCTCAGGAATCAACATATTCCTGGATGGGTTCGTGCCAACAGAGAATCTGAGATTCAGAGAACAGGTACTGACCTTCAAAGTGTCGGAGACAGCAGAGAGAGAAGAGGAGCACATCAAGAGGGATGCTAGGTACCAGTACCCGGACATGATCAAAGATTACGGTAAATAAACAAGCGGGATGGGGTGTTTCAATAGTAGTAAAGCTCCCATAGTCGAATGTGTTTCTTAACTGGTATTCCAACAAAAAAGGAACTCTACGCGTTATCAATAATATTCCTGCCTTAGGACCGTTCAAACTGGCGATAGACAAGGGCGATTTCACTGATTCTGAGATTGTAGTGATGTTGGGAGAGAACGGAACTGGTAAAACTACATTCATCAAGATGCTAGCAGGGATCACCAAACCTACCTCATGTGGTAAACTTTTATTTATAAAGCAATTATCTGTTTTTACGGGACAATCAAACAATTATAACTCTTAAGATGTAGAAACAGTTTTTATTATATAAAAACAGTCACCACATTTTGTTTGTAGAAACCTTACCTTGCTTAGTAGCAGTAACCCTTAGTAACCCTTAGTAACCCTTAGTAACCCTTACCCCACCCAGTCGAAGAGTTGCCGCGTCTGAACGTGTCTTACAAGCCTCAAGAAATCAGTCCTAAGTTCCAGGGTACCGTGAGACAGATGCTTCATGACAAAATACGTAACGCTTACGTGTACCCTCAGTTCGTTACTGACGTCATAAAACCACTACAGGTTAGTAAGTGACGTCATCAAACCACTACAGGTTAGTTAGTGACGTCATAAAACCTCTACAGGTTAGTAAGTGACGTCATAAAACCTCTACAGGTTAGTCAGTGACGTCATAAAACCACTACAGGTTAGTTAGTGACGTCATAAAACCTCTACAGGTTAGTAAGTGACGTCATAAAGCCTCTACAGGTTAGTTAGTGACGTCATAAAACCACTACAGGTTAGTTAGTGACGTCATCAAACCACTACAGGTTAGTTAGTGACGTCATAAAACCTCTACAGGTTAGTAAGTGACGTCATAAAACCTCTACAGGTTAGTTAGTGACGTCATAAAACCACTACAGGGTAGTTAGTGACGTCATCAAACCACTACAGGTTAGTTAGTGACGTCATCAAACCACTACAGGATAGTTAGTGACGTCATCAAACCACTACAGGTTAGTTAGTGTCGTCATCAAACCACTACAGCTACAGGTTAGTTAGTTACTCTTTATTACGTTATCATATAATTTCAGATTGAGAAGTTATACGATCAGCAAGTACAGAACCTTTCTGGTGGTGAGATTCAGCGTGTTGCTATCTGTCTTTGTCTTGGAAAGGTTAGTTTTGCAACGTCCTAAAATATTTTTACCTTGAAAAAATTATGAAATTGAGTAAATTGAAGGCAGTAAAAAGTATCACAGTTGTGTAATAACTGTGGGGAGGAAATAAGGTTTTCTAAGATCTGATTTGATAAGTCTACATTTTGTAACTTTCTCTTCCTATTTCTAATGATCTCTTTTCACTCGTTATTCAGTCTTTTACTGTTATAATGATATCTGCACTATTGGTGTGTTGCTTTATTTTTATAATGTCATCAGTTCTTATTGTTTTATAGTAGTTTTTTAAATTAATTTATATAAAATACTCGATTCGACCGACTGGTGGTCTGCTATGAGTAATATGAGTCATTTTATCTTGTTACTTGTAATATATTACTTATAGGATCTAAGCTCATTGACATTACCCGTATGACGTGTGCACACCGGTCGAAATGCATCGTCCTCTCTTTCACCACTATATGGACAAAGTAAAAGCGTAGAAAAAAAGTTGTCCGCTCGATTCGACCGACATTAACACTTAACATTCCTTGTAATTTCATATCTTATCAGTGCCGTTAAAAGTCAGTATATTTATGTACTTGCCCGATTAGCTTGCTGGCATTACAGTATTCCATCCACATAATATCTTATCATGCCTTACCAATTTCGTTAAAACTTTACCGCAGTATTCCACTACTCAAGCCGCACTCCAGCACTTTTCCCGTTAATTGTGGCTATTCTTATTAGTGTTGCTACTTTAACTAGTGAACTAGACAGGTACTTGGCAGCACTCTTCCATTCAATGCTCGATTCAGACTACTTTAACTACTGAACTAGACAGGTACTTGGCAGCACTCTTCCATTCAATGCTCGATTCAGACTACTTTAACTACTGAACTAGACAGGTACTTGGCAGCACTCTTCCATTCAATGCTCGATTCAGACTGTATTAAAATCTCCCAAATCACACTTCAATGGCCCACGTGTGTTATTGGTACGTGCTAATATGCACATAACTTGTAATATCTCTAACTCTAACTAGCAATACTTGCTGCCCGAAATTTATTTCTATCATTTCCTGCAATTTAATTTTGTAGTTTGCATGGTACTTGATTTTTTATCAGTACCCGCTGTTCAATTATGTGGTTTCGGGGTATGTTATTATTTTTATCAGTATGGCCCGTCAAATTATGTGTTAAAATAGTATCATCTCTGTGGGGGGAGGGGGTTAGACCCCCTTCTAAACCGAGAAGGGAGGGGGTTGCCCCCCCCCCTACTAAACCGTGATCACTTCTATTTAATAGAGCTGAATTAAAAGAGTTAACCCCGTTAATCATTACTAACTTCACACTTTAAGGTGTAGCCATGGCAACACACAAGATAACAGAAACAGCCCGTCAGAAGTATTACGGAGGGTACCAGTGCAGCTACGAGCACTACTCTGAGGAACTGAACTGTAAGATGAACTTTGCAGTTTACCTTCCTCCCTCCTACTCCACCACATCCGACAAGTTTCCAGTTCTCTTCTTCCTCTCAGGACTCACCTGCACTCATGAGAACTTCACTCTCAAAAGTGGTATGCAGAGACTAGCAGCTAAACACGAGATGGTCGTTATCTCCCCTGACACCAGCCCCAGGGGCTCAGACCACCCTGGAGAACATGAAGACTGGGACTTTGGGTCCGGAGCAGGGTTCTACCTAGACGCTAGTAACGGACCCTGGAGCTCTAACTACAGGATGTACTCGTACATTACTAAGGAGTTGCTAGGTGCTGTAACAGAGAACTTTAACGTGAGTGAGGAGAGGAGGGCTCTGTCAGGGCACAGTATGGGAGGGCATGGTAGTCTTGTTATCTTCCTCCGCAACCCTGACATGTTCAAGTGTGTCACAGCTCTGGCTCCCATCAGTAACCCTAGTAACGGGGAGTGGGGAGTTAAAGCTTTCTCTAGCTACCTGGGTGAGGACAAGGAGTTGTGGTCTGTGTGGGACGCCACTCAGCTAGCTAAACAGTTCAACTCACCCGGAGAGAAGCCTGTAAACATGTTAGTGTGTCAGGGAGACAAGGACAAGTTCCTGGAGAAGGAGCTGCTCACTCAGAACTTTATAGACGCAGCTGAAGAGAATCCCAGGATTAATGTGGAGTATAGGGTTAGGGAGGGGTACGACCACTTCTACCCTTACATCGCTTCTTTTCTGCACGAGCACTTCGAGTTCGTCGCTAAGTTTATTTGCTAAAGGAAGCTTATTATCTTAGATGGTCATGTTACCATGGTAACATCTCCCCATATAGAAGTATTACCATGGTAACAGCTACTTATATAGAAGTAACATCTTCTTATATAGAAGTGGTACCATAGTAACCATGAAGGGTACAATCATCATATGACAACTTGGTAATTTGTCGATGTAAAGTTTATTGTAAACTTAACTCACGGTTGCGTCAACACGTGCGTTCAGTGACCCTTTAAGGTGAGTCAACCGTGCGTTTCCATCTACAGATTACCAAGTTGCCCCCTTATATTACTGATTTTCCAGAAGATCAACTTGATTGTCGTTTCTTTCATTTGTTAGTTCATTTGTCTTGATTTTTTGTGTGAACTTTTTAGGGAAAATTGCTGATTGCGGATATATTTTAGATTTTTATTATGCTGTTTTTGAAGAGGAAGATTTCTCTTTTAATGAAACGTTATTTTAATTCATAATCATTGATAATGTCAATCAATAATTACACTTCAATAATTTTACAACTCTTACCACCGTTTTTTATTCTTCGTAACTATCTTAAAAAAGGAAGTATGTAACACTAAACTTCTTATATCTACCAACAAGTAGAAATAAAAGCTGTTTTTATTTTCTTAAATCTGGCTGGAAAATGACAGACATACCAGATTTGGCTTCTTTGTTAATTATTTAATGATTATTTATTATTTAATTAATAAATCGCTACTTTCAGCCAGCTGACGTGTATCTGATTGACGAACCGTCTGCTCATTTGGATTCCGAACAACGTTTACATGCTGCTAAAGTCATTAAACGGTTAGTAGTAGTAGTAGTAGTAGTAGTAGTAGTAGTAGTAGTAGTAGTAGTAGTAGTAGTAGTAGTAGTAGTAGTAGTAGTAGTAGTAGTAGTAGTAGTAGTAGTAGTAGTAGTAGTAGTAGTAGTAGTAGTAGTAGTAGTAGTAGTAGTAGTAGTAGTAGTAGTAGTAGTAGTAGTAGTAGTAGTAGTAGTAGTAGTAGTAGTAGTAGTAGTAGTAGTAGTAGTAGTAGTAGTAGTAGTAGTAGTAGTAGTAGTAGTAGTAGTAGTAGTAGTAGTAGTAGTAGTAGTAGTAGTAGTAGTAGTAGTAGTAGTAGTAGTAGTAGTAGTAGTAGTAGTAGTAGTAGTAGTAGTAGTAGTAGTAGTAGTAGTAGTAGTAGTAGTAGTAGTAGTAGTAGTAGTAGTAGTAGTAGTAGTAGTAGTAGTAGTAGTAGTAGTAGTAGTAGTAGTAGTAGTAGTAGTAGTAGTAGTAGTAGTAGTAGTAGTAGTAGTAGTAGTAGTAGTAGTAGTAGTAGTAGTAGTAGTAGTAGTAGTAGTAGTAGTAGTAGTAGTAGTAGTAGTAGTAGTAGTAGTAGTAGTAGTAGTAGTAGTAGTAGTAGTAGTAGTAGTAGTAGTAGTAGTAGTAGTAGTAGTAGTAGTAGTAGTAGTAGTAGTAGTAGTAGTAGTAGTAGTAGTAGTAGTAGTAGTAGTAGTAGTAGTAGTAGTAGTAGTAGTAGTAGTAGTAGTAGTAGTAGTAGTAGTAGTAGTAGTAGTAGTAGTAGTAGTAGTAGTAGTAGTAGTAGTAGTAGTAGTAGTAGTAGTAGTAGTAGTAGTAGTAGTAGTAGTAGTAGTAGTAGTAGTAGTAGTAGTAGTAGTAGTAGTAGTAGTAGTAGTAGTAGTAGTAGTAGTAGTAGTAGTAGTAGTAGTAGTAGTAGTAGTAGTAGTAGTAGTAGTAGTCTTATTACACATCTGTTTGCCATTAACTTCAAGTATCTTTGCAGTAGATATTTTAATTACTTTGTTGCTTTAGTATGTGTTAATATCAAGACAACTTCAGCCTGACCTTACTTAACCTATCTGCAGGTACATTCTTCACGCCAAGAAGACAGCTTTTGTTGTTGAGCACGATTTTATTATGGGAACGTATCTGGCAGACAGAGTTGTTGTGTTCGAGGGAGAACCCAGTGTGGATACTAAAGCTTGCACGTGCGTACACAGTTTGTTTTAATAGATACTAAAGCTTGCACGTGCGTACACAGTTTGTTTTAATAGATACTAAAGCTTGCACGTGCGTACACAGTTTGTTTTAATAGATATCAAAGCTTGCACGTGCAAAATTTCTTGTTATAACTGAATAGTTTTGATAGAAATTTAGTTATTCTGCTATGTAAATTTGTTTTAACGTATGTAGTGTACAGAAGAGTGAGCTGTCTTGTTTGGAAACATATCAGCCTTTAACAGTAGTCCCACAACAGGCCTTTAACAGTAGTCCCACAACAGGCCTTTAACAGTAGTCCCACAACAGGCCGTTAACAGTAATCCCACAACAGGCCTTTAACAGTAGTCCCACAACAAGCCTTTAACAGTAGTCCCACAACATTCCTTTAACAGTAGTCCCACAACAGGCCTTTAACAGTAGTCCCACAACAGGCCGCAGACACTACTCTCCGGAATGAACAAGTTCCTGGAATCCCTGGAGATCACGTTTAGAAGAGATCCTACAAACTTTAGACCCAGAGTCAACAAGATGGAGTCTCTCAAGGTTTGTTGGACCTAAGATAATTAAATACATTTTTCCTGAGACCTTATGTTGAAAATGGCATTAAGCAGTCTTGTTGTCATTCTGGCATTGTTCTGCCCTTCAGCCATTAGCTTAGTTATCAAATAATTGAAAAATATGAATTAAAATCAACGATATCGATAGTTAAGTAGATAATAAATTTTATCGTCTTAATAGATCATATTCTGGCGAAGGTCAATTAGCGAAGTGAGATAACTTACTATAAATTCAGAGGTTACAGTTCAGTCTATATTCTATAGCTACGTCATTTTCAGGACGTCGAGCAGAAGAGGACTGGGTGTTACTTCTTCCTTGACGATTAACTTATTGTCTCCAACTCTCTAGAGGGGGGCTCTCCAGGTCCAACTCTCTCTCTGGAGAGAGCTCTGGAAACATATCTCTCGCTCTGACATTCTCCATGAGGATTTGTTTTTAGCTTTTTTGTTCGTCTTATTTTCCGTGTTTTACTTTGTCTTCTACTAGATAAGATTATATATCAAAATTGAAAAAAGGCAGTGGATTGGCCAGTGAAAACGGAGACGTAAATCACATTCATGGGTGCAGTGATATTTACAAAGTTTAATTGACGATGTCAATTCATCGCAGCACAGTAGCGCATCTCGCCGATCTAGCGGCACAGTAACGCATCGCGCTACAAATACAATTACAAAGTAAGATAATTTTTGTGGACTAAACATTACATATTAGAAAGAAAAGCTGCCATTTTTAGTGTTGTAGCGCGATGCGTTACGCCGTTACTGTGCCGCGCACTCGAAATGAGGCTTTTCACAGCGACATCTCTAGATCGGCGAGATGCGCTACTGTGCCGAGTTAACGGGTGATACTCGTAAATTATCTGTTCCATATATTATATACAGGACCGTCGACGAGTCCAACTCGGCGCGCGTCCTGGTAGGTTGTAAACCTACAACGCGCCGAGCTGAGATGAATTGACATCGTCAATTAATTTTTAGTGATACTCGTGAAATCTTTAACGGGTGATACTCGTAAAATATTTGTTCCATATATTTGATATTGGACCGTCGACGAGTCCAACTCGGCGCGCGTCCTGGTAGAGTGTAAACCTACAATGAAATCTTTGTTCCAAAGCCCTTCGACGACTTCAACTCGGCGTGTATACTGCATATTATGCACTATTATATATAATAGCCCTAGGTCGCGCATCAAATAATATTTGATGCGCGGCGCGGTACCACATTATTGGCAAGATCAGCATTTAATTTACCTGGGGACCTCAGGCTATCATGTTCAACAAACCGAATAGAGATTAGGCGGAATGACAGGCTGAGCGCAGCCCAGTAATATTTAATTTTCACCTCAACAATAACATTATTGCGACACGCTGAATACGTTTCGTGCACGCCGGCCGGCCGCGCGCGCTCAAAAGGGGTTACACTTATAGCGTGTGTCAATAACATTACTGGGACGCGCCAAGCCTGTCATTCCGCATAATCTCTATTCTCTAATTTCTATTTATATTCTGTTTATGAACATAATGGCCTGAGGTCTCAGCTCCAGGTAAACAAATGTTTATTGTATGAGTAAGCTGTGGGATTGAAAAAGTAAGCTATACCAATTAAATGTATTTTACACTGATTTCGAATAAAACTTATTACGTAATTATAATTACGTAGCATGCAAATCATTTCTTGTCCAGTTTATATGAGCCGCGCAAATAAACAAAAACATTATTTGTTATTCATGGATGCGCGGCGCTAAACAGTCCAATAGTGCATTGCACTAAATTGTAAAAATTGTAATATCATTGATCAAATGTTTAAATATTTTGATTTTAAAACGTCGTTGCTTTTATAACATACATTTTTAAAACTTGTCTGGCTGAATATAAATTTTTGGTTTATTTTGTCACAAATTAATCGCTCCTACTAAATCGCTTGCCCAAATTTTAAGAATTTTCTTGTGAAAAGGCCCTTCGGGTGTGAAATTGATCTGAATCGGTGTATTTTGATTTGATTTGATTTGAAACTTTTACAAAATAGCAAGTATACAAATGTACAGCAATTCGAACAAACATATAAAATGGGCCGAAATGTATAAATGCTAAAAAGCGTGGGTCAGTGAAACAAGTACAGAGGACAACTTTCAGAACAAAAGTTTTTTGGCCGTCCAAAGTCTCAATAACATCACCTCCACCTAGTAATAAAATTATGAAATGTGAAAAGTGTGAAACAATCAAATAATAATGTATGTATATAATATAATTGTCTCTCAAATACAGATAACGTCCGTTAACTCTTAAAATACCCCTACAAGTACATATTATACCGATCGGTGGTGTCCGAGAAACATGAATTACGTCATCATGGTGTCTTCTTAACCCGGCTACAGACCTTCCCGTTACGGATGTAGTGGTCGAGATGAGTCTGTTCAGCCCTCTTCTTCTTCAGGTCAGTTACCACGTTCTTCCTTGCTGCACGCTCTTCACTGGATCTATCAGGACAGATCCATACATTTTTGTGTGCATCAGCCATCTTCAGTCCCTGTCTTCATCAGAATCTGATGAACTGCTGTTGAGCTTGGGACGGTGATCTTGACTGGTCGGATAGCCGTACCTGGCCTCTTCCAGCCGACTCTAGTCGCTTCAAAATGAGGTTTCTCCCCGATCTCCTCCAATAGTGTGGTTACCAGAGCTGGTAGCTGTTCTTCATCCTCTTCTTTCAGACCAAACACTATCAGATTCTTGCTCCTGTCCTCCTCTGCAGCCACACTCTTCATTACATTCTTCAGAATTTTACTGTTGCAGACTGCGCCACTTGTGCTGTTCTTTTGTACAGCTGCACTGTAGCTCTTAATTCCTGTCTCCACCGTTGTTTGTACTGTCTCTTCAACTGACGTCTTAAACAACTGTAGTTGTTCGTCCTTCTGCACTAGCAACTGGTCCTGCAACCTGACCATCTTTTCCTTGTCTGCTAGTGCTTCCGTCTTGAGGCACTCAACGATTTCCATCATAGCGCTCATCTGACTACTCTGCCGTCGTACGAGGTCTGCTGCTTGCATAACCCAGTTTGCCATATACCTTTTATAGATAGACGGAGACATGAGTATTTCCTGGTCCATATTTCCACGAATTTCGAAATTTTCTAATTTCAGTTCTCTTGCCATCGAAGTGAACCATCTTTCAGTACAGCCCTCTACATCTTCCTTTTCTTCGTAGTTGAAATCCTTGATTTTCTTCTGAGATCAGGTCAAATTCAGACCATCCTCCATGGTGTACTTGTATAATAATGTACAATTACACACGCAAAGGCTAACTACGCGGTAATCAGCGTCTTTAGGGCGCTGATTCTGAATCACCCCACATGACATAGGGTAAAAATGCTTCCACGGAGAGTTATGGGCAAAAAACCGTTTTGGTCACGTGACAGGCTAGTAAAACATGAATTTGATTGTTTAGGGCTCATGGTTAGGGTTAGGGTTGTGGTAAGGGTTATGGTTAGCTTCGGGGTTATGGTTAGGGTTAGGGTTGGGATTAGGGTTTATGCAAAACCGTTTTGTACGGCTGCAAAACCATAAAAACCAAAGTCACGTGAAATTTTTGGGCGAGCGAATTAGTAAGAGCCCAAATTAATACCAAAAATATTAAATAGTTAAATTTTGATATCACAAATAATCCCACGCCTCGCATATTTTACAACCTTTAGGAAAAATCCTATACAATACTTTTGGAATCGAGCGCTTAAGCAAGTTCTGTGCACTTACCGAAAAGGACCGTTTAAGTTGAACAAGGAACATCTACACCGATAGTAAAACAAAGATTTCTGGTAGAATAAAAATAATTTTGTGAGTAACAGGTTATATAGGAAGAGAAGCGACACTTTTTAAAAAGGTAGCTGATAAGGTTACCTCGTCTATGTAATGAAAATACCTGAATAAGGATCCTTAGCCATTTCCCCTGATTAGATGACACTGGGATTCGAACACTTTCTGTGCAGAAGGTGGGGCTTAGGCTATCCATTATCGGTATGAAATTTTTTATCTAGATAAACAGATAAAGATTTAGGTTTTATCTAGATAAAACCGATAAAACCGATAATTTTTCTGCTGAAGGCCAAAGCCAAAATGTTTTCCAAATTTCGCAAAAACTAATTGTCGACTTTTATTACTGTTTACCAGTAATCTTGCTAAAGAACCACTTCCTTTCTTTTGAAAATATTAGAGCATTAGTTTTCTTCTCCGGGGAGCAGAAGTACACAAGTTTTCTTCAAAACAGTAGACCAACGGTTTTCTTCTCCTAAGAACAGTAGTGTACCAGTTCTCTTCAAAACAGTAGACCAACGGTTTTCTTCTCCTGAGAACAGTAACGCACTAGTTATCTTCAAAACAGTAAGTAGACTACCGGTTTTCTTCTCCTGAGAACACTGAACAGTAACGCACTAGTTCTCTTCAAAACAGTAGACCACTGGTTTCCTTCTCCTGAGAACAGTAACGCAATAGTTGTATCACCCTGGATTCTTCTCGACGTATCTTTGTAAAAGGTATATACCTTCTAGTCAATCTCTTGCTACTCCAAGTCCCCTAAGATATCTGATCTAAAGTTCGTGCTAGTTATATATATAGAAAATATATTTTTGTCTGCTTTAATTGATACAAATAAAATTGTTGTTTTCTTAAAAGTTCTCTTCAAAACAGTAGACCACCGGTTTTCTTCTCCTGAGAACAGTAACGCACTAGTTCTCTTCAAAACAGTAGACCACCGGTTTTCTTCTCCTGAGAACAGTAACGCAATAGTTCTCTTCGAAACAGTAGACTACCGGTTTTCTTCTCCTGAGAACAGTAGTGCACCAGTTCTCTTCAAAACAGTAGACCAAGGGTTTCCTTCTCCTGAGAACAGTAGTGCACCAAATACCAATTCTCCTCGAAACAGTAAAGCATTTAAAGTGATTCAGTGAACCGTTTTCTTATCCTGTTGATAACTTGGAGCAACAGATCTAGATTCCTTCTCCTGAAGACAATGTTTCACGCCCAGAACACTTACGGAATTCAATTGAGTGCCCTGCTGGTATTTTTGACTCTTGTTAACAGTAACATGCTCGTTCCCGTCTCCAGCATGGTTGTAAGGTAAAACGCCAGCACCCCCAAGAGAACAATGTCAATAACCTTCTCTAGATTTCTACAGTTCATACAGTTCTACAGTTCCATAGGTATACAAATGTAAATAAACGTCTTAAGCTCACATCTAAGTGAACTACCTCTTCTATCTTACTATATATAAAGCGAGACGATATATATATATCTGTGCCATTTTACTGACACCACGGCATCGACTTTAACGCAACTTTCTGCAAAAACCGTAAAAGATATACAACTGAAACTTTTTTGGCTGGGTCAAATGCTTTAATATCCTCCAAATCAGCATGAAAAAATAAAAAATTGGCCGAGGAATAATGATTTTAGAGCCGAAAATTTGGACCCCCAAGTGGTGTCAAAAACGCCAATTAAATAGGTAATAATTATTTCAGTATTTTGAGTCTTGACACCGTTTAGGGTTATATTTCACGGGTTCCTGCTAGTCATACTAAAAGACGTTTGGGACTGTTTCTTGGATTAATTGGGAAGGCAAAAACACTAATATTTCTTTACAATTTTACGGTATTGTGGCAGTATTTTCGGTAATATCTAGTGAATTTTTATACCGATAAAAATACGTTTTATCTAGATAAACAGATAACTTTTTTTAACGAATTATCGGAGATAATTATCGGTTCCGATTATCGGAGTGGATAGCCTAGTGGGGCTTTAACCACCCTGCTACCCATCCGAAATAACACATGTGTGTAATTTCGCTTCGGTTGACTCAGCCGGATGACCGGTAAACCGTCATTGACGGTTAAATAAGGAGGGACATTGCCAAAATATCAAGAATCTTCTCAAGATACGCCTTCATTACATTTACATTCAAGTAGTGTAAAGAGTCATGAATATATAGAGAAAGCCACGGTTACCCCACTCGTGTTCAGTACTACAAGAAGAATGGCATTGGAGGCATCACAATTCGTGAAGTATCTTGCTGAAAATATCTGCTCCAAACTTGTATAATCTATATATATTTATATATTATATAATATCCTGATAGTAGAGAATACGCTGGTAAAATCTCTACAAAAATTGTGTTTGTAGAGCAAATCGCGCCTTTTCCTTGTACTTTAGTTAAGTTTTTCAAAACGTGTCCCACATTCAACAACACATTCCCCCCTAAGGAGCTGCCCCTTGCACAGCAACCGCCACTGTAATCTCTATGAGGATTGAGGGGTTACAGAGATACCAAATCTTTGCTATCCACTGCAATAAGTTATTTGGACCTTAGCCTCTGTTGGGAGAGGGCCTGGGCCACTTGTTGTGATGTGACTTGAGAGCATGTACATTTAATTGCTACATAATATAAAAAGTACACTTTTATTTTAAGTTGACCGCTTTATATTTTACAAAGGGTTTTATTTTCTACCCTAGTTTAAATAAATTTCTACCGTTTTATTGCAATCATTGTATTGGTTTATTTATTTTTGGGAGTGTCCAGCTATACCATTTGCATTGCTAATATTTTGCTTATATTGTTTGAAATTATTTCTTTCTTTAATATAATTCGATTTCTACAGTGGGAACTTTAGTATGTAAAGCTTCTGATCCTATCATGGACTGCCTGGAATATTCTGATGCTAATGAGCTTTTTAGTGAGCTTGTAAATGATATCAGTGGTGCCTGTGCCATAGGACGAGATGTTCAGGTAAGTTAAGTTTGTCAGAATATTAAAGATACAAGACTGCATTAATTTAATTTGTCTCTGTTTCATTTAAGTTGTGATGAAGTTAATAAGCTTAAATCTCAATCAATCCTTTTCACTATTTGAAACATAAGAAATTCTGTATCGACAATTAAATTAGAATTTAACAGAGTTTATAAATAAATAAATATCAAATTAGTATAACATCGACGGCCCCAACGTTAATGTGGCTCTAGCTATGTGTTGGTTCAGCCGAATTAATTATTATGTTTAATCAAGTTTATTTTTCTCGTTAGTTGTCATCCGGCCAAACATTAAGCAACTTATATTGCAGTACCATTTATCAATTTGTATATCAAAATATGTCATTGTAATTTTGCATGGCTGAAATGTAACGCTTGATTTATTATATATATAATGATTAATTGAATTTTCAAATAAAAAAAATCATGCAAACAGGTTCAGCAGCAGCCAGTACAGGAGACCACAACAGCAAATACAAATGGTGACTCAGATGCCTGGGTATCAGTATTTGTCCCTGTTGCTTCATTACAGAAACACATCACCAAGGCCAACCAGGTAAATTACTTTAATCATAAATAAAATAATCCACAGTAAATCCACTGTAAATCAGGGTTGCAGGAAATTGGGGGTTTGGTGATTGGTCCTAAATTGGTCCTAAATTGGTCATCAAGGCTGGATAAAGCCTGAAATCAACACAAGCAATATTTTTTAAAGTCTTGTGAACACAATCAGTAATATAATAACAGAAATCAGATAAAATTATTGCTGCCTTTGCGTGAAATATTGTAAACCAAGACACAATAATTTTTCAGGTAGATGTCAGTGAGGATGAAGTGATCAGAGAAGCTAGTCGAGAAAAGGTTCTGGAAATGTATGGAACCTCCAAGATCGAAGCCATACCCCTTTCCAACCAGACGGATGGAAGAGATCCGGTTCAAGAACAGAATGGGACAGAACCAAGCCTGTTACCACAAGATTCTGAACCCTCTTCTGGGAGGTTATTTCTTCCTCCAACTCTTAAACGATCAGAAAGACATGCCAATCCTGCAGTGAGTGACTTGCTTGCCATTTCATTGTTTTTCTTGGTAAACCAAAGAGCTATTTTGATAGCTATTTAAAGAAACCGGCCAGGTGGTGTAGTGATAAGAGCAGAAGGCCCGGTTCAAATCCGGTTGGATGCAAGTCGGCCAGTTACTATGATTTGGTACAGCTGTGATTTGGTACAGCTTTGGCTGGTGATACACACTCTCTGGCTCATAGGACTAACCTCCCTACAGCTAGTATAGTGCCTCAGAGTGGCATAGAGTGGCTTAGGGTTACTGAAAAGGAGATAAGCACCTCAGGCCATCCCAACTTGGGGGAGAGACCTACCCTTCTATCTTGTTGTTGTATTTTAAAAGAAATGTTTTTAGATTAAATACTAAGATTACAACTTTCCCAGTTTAGATGCCCTGAGTGTCTAGCAGGATTCACTAGAGCAGACAACCTAAAGAGGCATTTCAAAATCCTTCACGAAGGATCAGAAGCTTACGTCTGTCCGCATTGCAACAAATCTTTTGCGAGGAAAAACACATTGCAGCGCCATGTGGCGTCACAACATACCAGAGAGAAGAAATACGGCTGTGATTATTGTGATAAAACATTTATTTACTCTTTTGAGGTAATTTTTAAAACAGTTTGATACATGAACAAGTTCCACTGTTCTAAAAACCATATGCATATAACTGACAACTTTACCATAAAATACAATCTTCTAAGAGCTTATACCATTCCCAGGTACCAGTGCATGTTCAGAACGTACATAGTGACACCAAAGGTTATGCCTGCACCATGTGTGATACCAAGTTCAAGTGGCCTCGCTCTCTAGAGAGGCATTGTCTTGCTGTACACGAAGGTTTCAAATTCAAGTGCACTGAGTGTGATACCCTTCTTGGCAGGTGAGTCATTAACTATTAAATCGTATTTATAAAAAGTTGGCAAAAATTTGGCATTTATGAATGTCAACTAGCAACGGCTTAACATTTAGCAATACAACCACAAATTAGCTAATAGTCAAATAAAGCAAATACCTGACAACAAATTTGTTACAGAAAAAGTAGCTTATCATCAAAAGATGCACAATCTGAGTTAAACCAGAACTTCCTGTAATAATTTTAACCGGAGATATATATTAAAATTAGCATTAGTCACTAAACTTTGAAAGTGATTTAATGTTTTCAATCATGCGAGAATAAATAATCTCATCTTGTTAATTATACAATCTGAGCTGTTGATTGAACTGTTAATATTTAAATTACAATAGATATAAGATAAGTAAATCAAAGAGCTCATTATTAATGCTTGATAAACTATACTCATATTTCCCAGTTTGGATGCATACAAGAAACATGGAGCTCGCTTCCACCCCACCATGATATTCGCCAACAAGGAAGCTCCGCTGACACGCGATGGAGCCATCACCAACAGCAAGGACTCTCATATATGTCAATACTGTCATTCCGTATTTGCCATTAAAGCAAACCTTGAACGCCACATAGAGAAAATCCACTTTAACCACACAGGAGACATTTTAGAGTGTGAGTGGTGCAGTAATAAGTTCAGATCCCGTGACACATATCAAAGACACGTTAAAAAGTTCCACGTGGCCCAGACAATGGACGTTATGGCCATGGACAGTAGGACCATGCTGGGTTCTTATCATGTTAACAATAGTGAAATGACAGAGATAAGCTTGACAGAGCTGTTATCACACACAGGTAATGATAGTGACCCTCTCCCTTTCCCTGGAGATATTCAGTCATGTGACATCTAACTTCATTGGTGCCAGTACAAATTGAAAACATATATGTCTTTGGGCTCCATTAATTATTTTGATATTAAATATCAATTTGTACAAAGCGTCCTTTGTTTTTATCAATCACTGTGACCAGAATAATTTGGTGTTAAATTACAAGATGATAAGTGGCTGCAATTCTCTGAAATAATGAACATTTCTGTCTTATAATGTTTCATCTGCAATTATGAAACTATAATGCAATTAATGTAACCTCTGCTTTCAATGAACTTGCATATCATTTTTATTGCAGTATATATATGACTTAATTTTCTAAAATTAAACTGTTTTGTTTATATTTATATCTGGCCAGAGATCATGACCTATATAAAGCCATTTGTTTACAGCTTTACAGTATTAAGTTAAAGTATTTGTATTGTACAGAACTGAAATTGAGATCTTATTTCTAGACTGATGAGATTCACCATTTTGTTTTCTTCGTGTTCAAAAACATTATTGTCCCACACACATAATCTTGGTTTTGTAGCAGTATTAGTATTTATTTCTTAATCTACTTTAATTACATTCAAGTTTTACTAATTATATAAGACGCTATTTATTGTATCAAATTCATAAGTTAAGTTTATTTTAAGATATTATAATAATTATCATTCCTATTGTTGCTCTGGAAATTAAACTTTTAATTCACCGTAAGATGACAGCTCTAACTCTCTAAGATAGAGGTATTCAAATAAAACAATCAACAAGTTCTTTATTAAATAGGATGTGCATATTAAATCCCTGCAATCCTACTAAAAATATATTCATTCTCCTATCTTCAGGTATGTAGAACAAGTTACGAATCAATTGTTGCAACAATTGTTGTACTCATATGGAGAAAGTGGTTAATTCTGTACTAGCTAAATTTGAAGAAGTGGACATGGAGTTTGATCACATGAAAGTCGAAGTGAAGAAAGAGGAAGAAGATTCGAGAAGCAGGACTGGGGGTTTTGTATGTCCGACATGTGGCGAACAAATTATCAGTGAAAACTATTTCATTGAACATGTCAGGAAGTTTCATCATAATGCTAAATCCCCAAAACGGGAATTGGAGGATAAATTTTCGAAAGAATCTACTGAAGTTTCTAGAAATGAAAACAATAACTCTAGATTTGAAGATGGTAATTTTGTTGAACATGGTTATGATAAGTTTAAAAAAGATGTGAAGACAGAAGAGGGGGAATCTCAGGATAACAATATGGAGTTTCTTTGTCCTGATTGTGGTGACACATGTTTGGGAGAAAGCACATTTATTGAACATATCATCAGGGAGCACCAAATTGACTATGATTCTCAAGAAATAACAATTAATAAACCTCTAAGTAATTCTGATGCCAACATAGGCTTAAATTCATCCTCTGAGGATTTAAATGCTCATAAAATTGAGAAAAAATCTCATCTCTCCAGTCATCCAAGACAGCATACAAAGGAGAAACCGTTCAAATGTCCTGATTGTTCATATTCAACTGCTCAAAAATCATCCCTCAATGCTCATCGGAAAACACACACAGGAGAAAAACCGTTTAAATGTCCGGATTGTTCTTTTGCAGCTGCCCTAAAATCAAAACTTAAAAACCATCTCAAAGCTCACACAGGAGAGAAACCGTTTAAATGTCCAGATTGTTCTTATGCAGCTGCAGTAAAATCATCCCTTAAAGATCATCTCAAGACTCACACAGGAGTGAGACCGTTCAAATGTCCGGATTGTTCTTATACAGCTGCTCTGAAATCAAGTCTTATAACGCACCTCAGAACCCATACAGGGGAGAAACCGTTCAAATGTCCGGATTGTTCTTTTGCAGCTGCTCAAAGATCAACCCTCAATGGTCATCGGAAAGCACACACAGGAGAGAAACCGTTTAAATGTCCGGATTGTTCGTATTCAGCTGCTCGAAAATCAAACCTTATAACGCACCTCAGAACCCATACAGGGGAGAAACCGTTCAAATGTCCGGATTGTTCTTTTGCAGCTGCTCAAAGATCAACCCTCAATGGTCATCGGAAAGCACACACAGGAGAGAAACCGTTTAAATGTCCGGATTGTTCGTATTCAGCTGCTCGAAAATCAAACCTTAAATACCATCTCAAGACTCACACAGGTGAAAAACTGTTTAAATGTCCGGATTGTTCTTTTGCAGCTGCCCTAAAATCGAACCTTAAAGATCATCTCAAGAGTCACACAGCAGAGAGACCGTTCAAATGTCCGAATTGTTCTTATGCAGCTGTAGTAAAATCAAATCTTATGAAGCACCTCAAAACCCATACATGGGAGAAACCGTTTAAATGTCCAGATTGTTCTTTTGCAGCTGCCCTAAAATCGAACCTTAAAGACCATCTCAAGACTCACACAGGAGAGAAACCGTTCAAATGTCCGGATTGTTCATATGCTGCTTCTAGAAAACATATTCTGAAGGTTCATCAGAAAACTCACCAAAATTGAATGTATTATGACAGGCATCATGTAGCCTCCAGGCTCGACAAACCCCGACAAACCCCGACATATCCTTCAACAAACCCCGACAGACCCCGACAAACCCCGACAAACCCTGACAAACCCCGACAGACCCCGACAAACCCCGACAAACCCTGACAAACCCCGACATATCCCGACAAACCCTGACAAACCCCGACAAACCCCGACAAACCCTGACATATCCCGACAAACCCTGACAAACCCTGACATATCCCGACAAACCCTGACAAACCCCGACAGACCCCGACAAACCCTGACGAACCCCGACAGACCCCGACAAACCCTGACAAACCCCGACAAATCCCGACAAACCCTGACAAACCCCGACAAACCCTGACAGACCCTGACAAACCCCGACAGACCCCGACTATCCCGACAAACCCTGACAAACCCCGACAAACCCCGACATATCCCGACAAACCCCGACATACCCCGACAAACCCTGACAAACCCCGACAAAACCCCGACGTGTCGAGATGTGTCGTATCATGTCGGGCCCACCGGCTACATGATGCCTTATGACGTATTCACAGATTTTAACATTTTATTGCCAAATTTTCACAATTTATAAAATCCTCATTTATGTTGGACAAACATTTATGTTGGTCTAACATAAATGAGGATTTTATAAAGACACCATTAATTACATCCAACAATGTTGGATGTAATTAATGGTGTCTCATCATATGGAATAAACAATAGTTTTGACTATTTCTACACTCCAGCTCTGAGCTCTGTGATAACAATAAGATGTTTCGGAATTCGGAGTCTTAACTATAACAACAGGGTCCTGGCCCCTGGCCCTGTGTATAAGTGCATTTCTGACCAAACAAAAAAACAAAGTAATCTGCGAACTTTTTATTTACACTTTATTAGAAGAAGTATAGAACTGCCTCCCTTACTTTTGACACTACTATGACCAACCTGTTGTCATTTTACTCTAAAATGGTTCTACACTTCTTCAAATTTTTACCCTGTTCATGTTAGTAATTGTACATAATTCTGACGAAATGTCTAAGTGGGTATCTATGTAATTTTGGTAATAATTTAATGGTTACGTTCATGCCCACAGTTCAATGTTTTAACCCACCATACCAATATACGGTATACCATACTTTATACTCATTATCTTATTATTTATATACTATATGTTTTGATTCTTAGTCCTTAGAAGGGCACTCTATTAACAGTTTTTGACTGATTTGAATGTCCTGCACAGCAGATCGAAGCATTTTTAAATTATCGTATTGCTGTGTAAATGATCGTATTGCTGTGTAAATTTGACTCTAATTCTAATTCTAATTCTACTGCAGTACACGACTTTATTTTTTAGAATTGAACAGATTTGTTTATATTTAAATCAGGAGTATCTGAGTAGAGATCATGATCATTAAGCTGGATATGTTTACAGTTTTAAGCATTTTCATTGTGCCGCTTTTTCAGGACCTGTTTTTTTGACATCATAACTGCAAATAACGTTTAGATCTTAATGCTTGATAGATGATGCTAGATAGATGATGATTGATGCTAGATACATAATCTTTGTTTTGTAGCAGTATTTGTATTTATTTCTTATCTGCTTTAACAACATTCAAGTTTTACTAATTATATAAGACGCTATTTATTGTATCAAATTCATAAGTTAAGTTTATTTTCATATTTACATTATCATTCTTATTGTTGCTCTGGAAAGTAAACTTTTAATTCAGCGTAAGATGACAGCTCTAATTCTCTAAGATAGAGGTGTTCAAATAAAACAATCAACAACTTTATTAAATAGGATGTGCATATTAAATCCCTGCAATCCTGCTAAAAATATATTCATTCAGATCCTATCTTCAGGTATGTAGAACAAGTTACGGATCAATTGTTGTACTCGTTATGGAGAAAGTGGATAATTCTGTACTAGCTAAAGTTGAAAAAGTGGACATGGAATTTGATCACATGAAAGTCGAAGTGAAGAAGTTTCATCATAACGCTAAATCCCCAAAACGGGAATTGGAGGATAAATTCTCGAAAGAATCTACGAAAGTTTCTAGAAATGAAAACAATAACTCTAGATTTGAAGATGGTAATTTTGTTGAACATGGTTATGATAAGTTTAAAAAAGAGATGAAGACAGAAGAGGGGGAATCTCAGGACAACAATATGGAGTTTCTTTGTCCTGATTGTGGTGAGACATGTTTGGGAGAAAACACATTTATTGAACATATTATCAGGGAGCACCAAATTGACTATGATTCTCAAGAAATAACAATTAATAAACCTCAAAGTAGTTCTGATGCCAACATAGTCTTAAATTCATCCTCTGGGGATTTAAATGCTCATAAAATTGAGAAAAAATGTCATCTCTCCAGTCATCTGAGACAGCATACAAGGGAGAAACCGTTCAAATGTCCTGATTGTTCATATTCAACTGATCATAAATCATCCCTCAATGCTCATCGGAAAACTCACACAGGAGAAAAACGGTTCAAATGTCCAGATTGTTTGTATTCAGCTGCTCGAAAATCATCCCTCAATATTCATCGGAAAACACACACAGGAGAAAAACCGTTTAAATGTCCGCATTGTTCTTATGCAGCTGCAGAAAAATCGACCCTTAAAAAACATCTCAAGACTCACACAGGAGAGAAACCGTTCAAATGTCCGGATTGTTCGTATTCAGCCGCTCAAAAATCAAACATTAAAGTCCATCTCAAGACTCACACAGGAGAGAAACCTTTCAAATGTCCGGATTGTTCTTTTGCAGCTGCAGCAAAATTGACCCTTAAAAAACATCTCAAAACTCACACAGGAGAAAAACCGTTCAAATGTCCGGATTGTTTATATGTTGCTTCTAGAAAAGACACTCTGAAGGTTCATCAGAAAACTAACATTGTTGGATGTAATTAATGGTGTCTCATCATATGGAATAAACAATAGTTTTGACTATTTCTACACTCCAGCTCTGTGACAGCAATAATATGTTTCGGAGTCTTAGCTAAAACATCAGGGTCCCCTGTGTATAAGTGCATTTCTGACCAAACAAAGTAATTTATTAACTTTTTATTTAAACTTTATTAAAAGAAGTATAGAACTGTATGCCTCTCTTACTTTTAACACTACTATGACCAACCTGTTGTCATTTACTCTAAAATGGTTCTATACTTCTTCAAATTGTTACGTACCCTGTTAATAATTGTACATAATTCTGACGAAACGTCAAAGTGGGTATCTATGTAATTTTCGTAATAATTTAATGGTTACCTTCATGCCCACAGTTCAAGTTCAGTTATGGTGACCCACCATACCAATATACCATACTTTATACTCATTATCTTATTATTTATATACTATATGTTTTGAGTCTTAGTCCTTAGAAGGGCACTCTATTAACAGTTTTTGACTGATTTGAATGTCCTGCACAGCAGATCGAAGCATCTTTAAATTATTTACTATTTTGATTGTATTGCTGTGTAAATTTGAATATAATTCTAATTCTAATTCTACTGCAGTACACGACTTTATTTTTAGAGTTGAACAGATTTGTTTATATTAAAATTGGGGGTATCTGAGTAGAGATCATGATCATTAAGCTGAATATGTTTACAGTTTTTTAAAGTATTTTTATTGTGCCGCTTTTTCAGGGCATGATTTTTTGACATCATAACTGCAATTAACGTTTAGATCTTAATTCTAGATAGATGATGCTAGATGCATAATCTTGGTTTTGTAGCAGTATTTGTATTTATTTCTTATGATCTACTTTAATAACATTCAAGTTTTACTAATTATATAAGACGCTATTTATTGTATCAAATTCATAAGTTAAATTTATTTTAAGATATTATAATAATTATCATTCCTATTGTTGCTCTGGAAATTAAAGTTTTAATTCACCGTAAGATGACAGCTTCAACTCTCTAAGATAGATGTGTTCAAATAAAACAATCAACACCTTTATTAAATAAGATGTGCTTATTAAATCCCTGCGATCCCACTAATATATAATATACTAAAATATATTTATTCTCTTATCTTCAGGTATGTAGAACTAGTTACAAATCAATTGTTGTACTCATTATGGAGAAAGTGGATAATTCTGTACTAGCTAAAGTCGAAGAAGTGGACATGGAATTTGATAGTTACATGAAAGTCGAAGTGAAGAAAGAGGAAGAAGATTCGAGAAGCAGGACTGGAGGCTTTGTATGTCCGACATGTGGCGAACAAATTATCAGTGAAAACTATTTCATTGAACATGTCAGGAAGTTTCATCATAACGCTAAATGCCCAAAACGGGAATTGGAGGATAAATTCTCGAAAGAGTCCACTGAAGTTTCTAGAAATGAAAACAATAACTCTAGATTTGAAGATGGTAATTTTGTTGAACATGATTATGTTAAGTTTAAAAAAGAGGTGAAGACAGAAGAGGGGGAATCTCAGGACAACAATATGGAGTTTCTTTGTCCTGATTGTGGTGACACATGTTTGGGAGAAAACACATTTATTGAACATATTATCAGGGAGCACCAAATTGACTATGATTCTCAAGAAATAACAATTAATAATCCTCAAAGTAGTTCTGATGCCAACATAGTCATAAATTCAACCTCTGGAGATTTAAATGCTCATAAAATTGAGAAAAATTCTCATCCCTCCAGTCATCTGAGACAGCATACAGGAGAAAAACCGTTTAAATGTCCGGATTGTTCTTATGCAACTGCAGTAAAATCAAATCTTATGAACCACCTCAAGACTCACACAGGAGAGAAACCGTTTAAATGTCCGGATTGTTCTTATGCAGCTGCAATAAAATCAAATCTTATGAAGCACCTCAGAACCCATACAGGAGAAAAACCGTTTAAATGTCCGGATTGTTCTTATGCAACTGCAGTAAAATCAAATCTTATGAACCACCTCAAGACTCACACAGGAGAAAAACCGTTTAAATGTCCGGATTGTTCTTATGCAGCTGCAGTAAAATCAACTCTTATGAAGCACCTCAGAACCCATACAAAGGAGAAACCGTTTAAATGTCCGGATTATTCTTTTGCAGCTGCCCTAAATTCAAACCTTAAAAATCATCTCAAAACTCACACAGGAGAAAAACTGTTTGAATGTCCGGATTGTTCTTTTGCAGCTGCCCTAAAATCAAACCTTAAAAACCATCTCAAAACTCACACAGGAGAGAAACCGTTTAAATGTCCGGATTGTTCTTATACAGCTGCTCTGAAATCAAGTCTTATAAAGCACCTCAGAACCCATACAGGGGAGAAACCGTTTAAATGTCCGGATTGTTCTTATACAGCTGCTCTGAAATCAAGTTTTATAAAGCACCTCAGAACCCATACAAAGGAGAAACCGTTTAAATGTCCTGATTGTTCATATTCAACTGCTCGTAAATCATCCCTCAATGCTCATCGGAAAACACACACAGGAGAAAAACCGTTTAAATGTCCAGATTGTTCTTATGCAGCTGCTCAAAAATCGAACCTTAAAGACCATCTCAAGACTCACACAGGAGAAAAACCGTTCAAATGTCCGGATTGTTTATACACTGCTTCTAGAAAAGACACTCTGAAGTTTCATCAGAAAACTCACCAAAATTGAATGTATCCACAGATTTAAACTTTAAACTGCCAAATTTTCACAATTTATAAAATCCTCATTTATGTTGGTCCAACATAAATGAGGATTTTATAAAGACACCATTAATTACATCCAACATTGTTGGATGTAATTAATGGTGTCTCATCATATGGAATAAACAATAGTTTTGTCTATTTCTACACTCCAGCTCTGAGCTCTGTGATAACAATAAGATGTTTCAGAGTCTTTGCTAAAATAGCAGGGTCCCCTGGCCCTGTGTATAAGTGCATTTCTGACCAAACATTTAAGTAATTCACAAACTTTTTATTTAAACTTTATTAAAAGAAGTATAAAACTGTATGCCTCCCTTACTTTTGACACTACCATGACCAACCTGTTGTCATTTTACTCCAAAATGGTTCTATACTTCTTCAAATTTTTACCCTGTTAATAATTGTACATAATTCTGACGAAATGTCAAAGTGGGTATCTATGTAATTTTCGTAATAATTTAATGGTTACCTTCATGCCCACAGTTCAATGTTTTAACCCACCATACCAATATACCATACTTTATATACTCATTATCTTATTATCTATATACTATTATATGTTTTGATTCTTAGTCCTTAGAAGAGCACTCTATTAACTTCTTAACAGTTTTTGACTGATTTTTGACTGTCCTGCACAGCAGATCGAAGCATCTTTAAATTATTTACTACTTTGATTGTATTGCTGTGTAAATTTGACTCTAATTTTAATTATAATTCTACTGCAGTCTTTATTTTTTAGAATTGAACAGATTTGTTTAATATTTAAATCAGGGGTATCTGAGTAGGGATCATGATCATTAAGCTGGATATGTTAACAGTTTTAAGTATTTTCATTGTGCCGCTTTTTCAGGACCTGTTTTTTTGACATCATAACTGCAAATAACGTTTAGATCTTAATGCTTGATAGATGATGCTAGATACATAATCTTGGTTTTGTAGCAATATTTGTGTTTATTTCTTAGATCTACTTTAATAACATTCAAGTTTTACTAATTATATAAGACGCTATACTATTTATTGTATCAAACTCATAAGTTAAGTTTATTTTAAGATATTATAACAATTCTTGAATTCTTATTGTTGCTCTGGAAATTAAACTTAAATTTCACCGTAAGATGACAGCTCTAACTCTCTAAGATAGATGTGTTCAAATAAAACAATCAACACCTTTATTAAATATGATGTGCATATTAAATCCCTGCAATCCTGCTAAAAATATATTCATTCTCCTATCTTCAGGTATGTAGAACAAGTTACGAATCAATTGTTGTATTCATTATGGACAAAGTGGATAATTCTGTACTAGCTAAAGTCGAAGAAGTGGACATGGAATTTGATCACATGAAAGTCGAAGTGAAGAAAGAGGAAGGAGATTCGAGAAGCAGGACTGGAGGCTTTGTATGTCCGACATGTGGCGAACAAATTATCAGTGAAAACTATTTCATTGAACATGTCAGGAAGTTTCATCATAACGCTAAATCCCCAAAACGGGAATTGGAGGATAAATTCTCGAAAGAATCTACTGAAGTTTCTAGAAATGAAAACAATAACTCTAGATTTGAAGATGGTAATTTTGTTGAACATGATTATGATAACTTTAAAAAAGAGGTGAAGACAGAAGAGGGGGAACCTCAGGACAACAATATGGAGATTCTTTGTCCTGATTGTGGTGACACATGTTTGGGAGAAAACACATTTATTGAACATATTATCAGGGAGCACCAAATTGACTATGATTCTCAAGAAATAACAATTAATAAACCTCAAAGTAGTTCTGATGCGAACATAAATTCATCCTCTGGGGATTTAAATGCTCATAAAATTGAGAAAAAATCTCATCTCTCCAGTCATCTGAGACAGCATACAAGGGAGAAACCGTTCAAATGTCCTGATTGTTCATATTCAACTGCTCGTAAATCATCCCTCAATGCTCATCGGAAAACACACACAGGAGAAAAACCGTTTAAATGTCCAGATTGTTCTTATGCAGTTGCTTATAATTCGAACCTTAAAGACCATCTCAAGACTCACACAGGAGAAAAACCGTTCAAATGTCCGGATTGTTTATACGCTGCTTCTAGAAAAGACACTCTGAAGTTTCATCAGAAAACTCACCAAAATGGAATGTATTCACAGATTTTAACTTTAAACTGCCAAATTTTCACAATTTATAAAATCCTCATTTATGTTGGTCCAACATAAATGAGGATTTTATAAAGACACCATTAATTACATCCAACATTGTTGGATGTAATTAATGGTGTCTCATCATATGGACACGTTCATAAAAAGGTGGCACTAGAGATTGATTTTTCACTGCCAAAATTGTGTGAAGCATTTTAAAATACTTGTATCTCAAGAAGTATGCTATGAAAGTTAACCAAATTTTAATATGTGGTCCAAAAAGAGTCAAATGTCACATAATAAAGTCATTAATCTCTTTATATCTGTTAATTGTGCAGATATGAGCCAGAAATCACAAAATATTCATTTCTTGCACCTCTAATGATGAATTTACATTCTGTGAGTGTGTCCTGCTTCTCAATGTGATTATTGAACCTTTTTGAGATAGTTGAGTGTTAAAAGTGCAAAGAGTCACCGGTTAAATGTGGAGTTATGATGCAATTATCACACACAGGGTTAATTCTGACTAAGTGTTTTAGAATGATGAATGTGATATGAATATCAACGGAATGATTGTAACAATGAACTCTATCAATCACAATTATATCATGCTAACTAATATTTAGAGAATTTAGATGGTTAAAAGTGCCATAATGAGTCAAAAATCACATAAATGAGCATGTATTGAAATTATGCTGTATCAGGGGAATGTATCACTTTTTGGCTCTATATCAGGTTGGTATTCATAGCAAATCTGCAGTAATTTGTTGTGACACTTGTTTATGGTCATGGAGAAGTTCGTTATTAGAGTAATAGTGGAATCAATAATCACAAAACACAGATTTTAAACTGAGTAAACTAGGCAAGTACTTTTACTACTCAAGCCATGATAATTTTGTCTCCATAATGTGACAAATGAATCAATCAGTAACGTATAATACTTAATTGAATTTTTGAAATGTGATTATCGATTCATTACCTTCCCTTTCAAAATGTCATTACAACTTGAACATTACATATGATTCAATTGTCACACTTTAAAGAAAATTACATATTTGGTAGCTAGATTTATGTGATTTTTGAATCATTTAAGCACCCAGATCAAAAATTATCGCTCAAAGGCCTTCAATATGGTATAAGCTTAGACATGGATTCAAAAATCACATAATAAGAATCATAGAATGGATATAAATTGTCATATCGTGCACTTAATTTAAGGATTACTATAGTGTGACTTAATAGCGCACCTTTAACGAAAATGTGACTTTTGAATCATATTAACTGGTTTTAATACTATTTAATACTATTTTGTACCCTAAAAAATGATAGAAAGCCAATAAAAACGTTAGATGATTCAATAATCACTGCTCAAAATAGGCTCATTTCCAACGTTTAAGTTGTGATTTTTGACTCATGTTGGCACCAATAACAATTTCAGATAAGACATTCCATTCCTTACATGCATTATAGTCACCATATCAATTTTGGGTTCTTTGTGAATATTACTTTTCAGATTATCTAGTGTTGATTCATCTTGCATTTCTAATTGTGTGACTTTTGACTCATTGGCACACAAATAACGATAACTCCTGTGATATAAGCACTAGAGACTCCGTGATTTTAGGATCATGAAATTTAATCGAATTTCTAAAGGTATAGATAGACATATCAACCAACAAAGAGCAATGACTATTTTTAAAACGCATTTAAAAAAATCAATCTCTAGTGCCACCTTTTTTTGAACGTGTCCATATGGAGTAAACAATAGTTTTGACTATTTCTACACTCCAGCTCTGAGCTCTGTGATAACAATAAAATGTTTCAGAGTCTTAGCTATAACAACAGGGTCCCCTGGCCCTGTGTATAAGTGCATTTCTGACCAAACAAAAAAACAAAGTAATCTGCGAACTTTTTATTTACACTTTATTAGAAGAAGTATAGAACTGCCTCCCTTACTTTTGACACTACTATGACCAACCTGTTGTCATTTTACTCTAAAATGGTTCTATACTTATCCAAATTTTGACCCTGTAAATAATTGTACATAACTCTGACGAAATGGCAAAATGGTTATCTATGTAATTTTCGTAATAACTGCTTGAAAATCATGCCTCAAAGTTCACCAGAAAACTCATTTAGGAGAAAACCTGTTCAAACCTCTATTGGTAGTTCATTTATTTTTATACCTTTTTAGTGTAATTGTCATTTTTATTGCATGTAACGTCTCTGACTTATGTTTTTTGACACGAAACTTTTAACGGCATTATTATTAGTTTAACAACAATTCATTACAAATTTGTTTACTAAAACATACACTCCATGATTAGGATGAATATTCTAACTCATCTAAGTGCTGACGACAGCATCCTTCTCAACAGCGACCACCACGACATAGCCTCCCACCAGGACGTCATCTCTCATGACGTCATCAATCCACTCGTGACGTCATCAAACCCACGTGACATCATAAACCCTCTTGTGACCACCTCACAGCAGCTACTGAGCCACCAAATGCAGCGGCCCCTCCTCGACTCAATGTCTCAGAACATGACGTCTAGCATGTCCTGTGAGCGGCGAGCAGCCGAGCTGTCCTCCTACAACAGTAACAACCCTGCCACTGACGATGAGAGAGTGGTGCAGGCTATTTTAATATCTCACGATGGTCCACAGAGTTTCCCTCAGTTTAAAGATAATCAGCATCAACAACTTGGTTTGTGAAATACATTAAAATTCAACAAAATAGTTAGAAAATTAAGAAATTCCTTTCATCACCAAAATACAGAATATTTAAAACCTTTTCGGCTTAAATTGAAAAAATAACTCACAATTTTTGTAAACTTTTCAATCGTGTTTTCCTTGAAGACCAAAATTTCGCTGTAAGAGTTGCCTTGATAGTTGATAGTCAAAACCTCACCAGGATCGCCGTATGTGAAGATTACTGAACGGGACGGAAAGTTCGACTCGTGGGTAGTTTTACCACTGCGTGAGTTCCAGGAGATATATCAGAACAGTATCGACCTTGTGAGGAGACATTTGTTCGGAGCTCCTCTTTCTCACAAAGAGTATGTTAGATATGTTAGATATGTTAAATACCTTACGAGACATATTTATATGGTACGAAATTTGGGGATTTTTGGAAAAAATGGGAAAAAATCCCCATATTTTCGTATTGAATTTCTGAAATTTCGTACTGAATTACTGTATTTCTGAAAAAAAATCCCCATATTTTCGTTCCCCCATAATTTCGATCCCCGCTAATTATGATCCACATAAATATGTCTTGTAAGGTATGTTAGAACTTTTACACTTTAGTTTTAAGTGTTTGTTTGACACTCTGATGCAGCTTTTTGGTATAATATGCTCTGAAAGATATAAACGAAACATGTACATGTAATAAACAAATACTGGGAAATACTGTATAGGTCCTTATAACTTACTTTTTCTACTAACTTGTACATACATTCACGTTGCTAAACACGACGACTTTACTAAAAGGGTACGCTTAACACGACGACTTTACTAAAAAGGTACGCTTAACACGACGACTTTACTAAAAGGGTACGCTTAACACGACGACTTTACTAAAAAGGTACGCTTAACACGACGACTTTACTAAAAAGGTACGCTTAACACGACGACTTTACTAAAAGGGTACGCTTAACACGACGACTTTACTAAAAAGGTACGCTTAACACGACGACTTTACTAAAAGGGTACGTTAATAACACGACGACTAAATAAGACCACATATTACAGCAGCAGTGTACCGGGAGTGTTCCCATGTGAAGATTGTGGATATGTGTATAACAAGGAGTATAACTTACAACGACACCGCAAGGAGAAACATGCCATCATTGTCAAACGGGTCAAGGTAAGATTATGATATATAAAATATTACCTAGGTCGAAACTTTTTCGGCTCGTTCCGTTTTACACAGACGTTTGCATTGGAAGAGTTTTGTTCGGGTTCTGTTACTTTGTTAGTGTAAAAATAATCATCAATGAGGAACCACAGCATAAGCACTGTCAAAAATATCACCTTTTTAAATATGTTATGATTTTTCACTGATAAGTTGATAAAATGATAGATGAACCGTCTTTTCCTCCCCCAGTGTCCGTATTGTGGCAAGTTCTACATCAGAGAAGACAATTTATTGCGGCATGTGAGGAATGTACACAATCAAGATGAGCGTTGTGTTTGTATCCACTGCGGCGCTGACTTCTACAGATACGCCAGCCTAAAGCGCCACATACTGGTTCCACATAATTATTATAATTATAATAATTATGTAGATAATTGCAATTGTTTGAATCAGCAATATTAGTATTTTCATGTCGTTTTAGTTTAAAAGTTTAAACAGTTAACGCTCTCGACTTGAATTTAATCAAGTTTGTACAATATGTTCTTTCTCATTGTCAACACAATTTGCTTGCAGACGAAACACAAAGATTCGAAAGTTCACAAGTGTAACTTGTGTCCCAAGTCTTTTGCTTTTAAATGGGAGCTGAAGATACACAATCAGAACGCGCACGTCGTTGACCCTGGTTACACAGTGAGTCACTCGATATCTGCGATTTAAAACATTGATATAACGACGTTAATATAACGACATTGATATCACAACTTCATTTCCATATTATAATAGATATATTCTAGAAGTACATAACTCGCATTCTCATCACATTTGTTCCTAATTATTGTCTGAAATAACTTTAAAGATTACATTCCAAGCAACACACAATAACTTCAGTGTGAGTTGTGTAACAAGAATTACAAACGTCCCCAATCGCTCGCTGAACACAAGAAATTCTACCACGAAGGTCAGCGCGTGATCTGTAAGATAGACAACTGTAACGAACTGTTCAACACCATGGCAAACTTCAAGCGCCACAAGCGCGAGATGCACATGTCAGGTGATATAACTATGAAGCGCGGCCCCGCACAGAGTGAGGAGAGGTTTAAGTCGTACCAGATAGTTCCGGTGGAGAGTCTGGGGGTGGTGCGGTGCTGCGAGTGCGGGTTACCGTGCCACGGTCGCTCCGAACTCCAGAAACATTACAAAAAGGAGCATAAGAACTGTGCTGTGGATGGCACGGTAACGCGGCAGAAACCGCGCAAAACAGCAGACATCATGTACAAGTGTAACCAATGTCACACTACTTTTAAGGAAATGACAAGTTACGAGAGTCACATCGCCAAGTTCCACTCGAGTGCCTCTCCGGAGTTGTCAGTTCAGTTTCCGTTTGGGAAGGGCTCTGTTTCTTGTTGTGATGGTGCCTGTGATAACACCGGACTGGATTTAAGTGTGACGTCACAGTTGTTAGCCATTCAGGATTGTGTGCCTTCTTCTAGTAATAATCATAATCTTTTATAACATCGGGAATGTACAATGTTACAATGTAGTCCTGTAAACCCCGATTTACCGCAGTGTTTGAGGGAAGGAAACTGCCGGAGTAAGTCGAGGTTTGTGGTATAGCAATAGAATATTTTGTAACCAATGTCAACGTTATCTTGTTGAAAACAATTTAAAGTAATTTAAATATTTTATTTGAAATTTCAAGTGTCAGTATTTCAGTTTGGATCTTCAACCTCTTTTGTATACGCTTATTATTTATTTACATTTTCTCAGTTCATGGTTTTTTGACAGTAGGTTTATACAGCAAATTTATAAAGAAACATTTGCAAAATTTCCTGTTTATGAATTAGAATGTATTATAACAGAATAGCTAATGTTTAAAAAGCTCGACAAAATTTAGTTCCATAATTGCCCTAATTGTAATTTTATTTATATGATGTAATACTTATTTTTAAGAATAAAAAATGACATTTGTTTTCAATTAAAATGGGACTTGGTATTTCTACCATGCCATGCAGAGTCAGAAGAACAAAATATACGCTAGTAAATTGTTGCTCAAATAATTTATTTGCCAGCCAATTCAAATCATCTGTCTCCACGCTCATCAATTAAATTTAATAAGAATACATCACATACATTTTAGCGCTGACAATTGTATTTTAATTTTGAATCTCATGATACATAGGAAGTAGCACAGAATGGCAACATTAGACGACATAGATTTGTACGGAGATGGCCTAGCTACTGAGCTTAATGTGTCACAGTCTGTCAGTACACCCGTAAGTTTTCACATCGGAATATTTTATTAATATGAATTATGTTGTAACTAAAATTGTGATTGAGTCATACTTCATTCATCTATTCAGGTTATGATGTTTTTGGCTACATCTTATTTTATGTTTGATTGACAGTTACATCTTTACACTTTATGACTTACTTCTAACAGAAAACTTAACATTTTGTAGGTGGTGTCATCTCCGTATATCAAGCCAGAACCAACACCCCAGATAAAGCTAGAACCAACCACAATGGTCACCCCAGCTCCTCTCCCTTTTCCTCCTCCAACCGCCATTACAGTCAAGGTACTGGGACTCATGTTCAGGCTGCTGTCTTGAATTGTTTCACAATTACATGGTTAAGTTATCACAAAACGTGTGTGACTTGATAAATATTATATGCAAAAGTATGCGTGAATATTATAATATGCAGTATTCATGCTGAATATTCATCTGAAATTAACAGAGTATCATTTCCAGTCTCTCGCTCCGCCAGTTTCTCTAGTTTCGTTAATACAAGAAAGTTATGCCTGCCATGAAGCAACCGGCGATTCTAATGATCAATTTTTATTGTATTATAATTTATTTGAACTGTATAATTATTGTATATTATGTACGTTTTCCGTTCTCACTTCTTGATGTTTTATATTATAATTGATTAATATTGTAATCCATTTTTATGGAGATTGTACTATTGTTGAATGCATTTTTTTAGTTACTTTCTTGGTGGTTTCCCACGAGCAAATTTGTTTGATAATTGATTGTGTAATTTGAATGAATATTTTTATTCAAGTCTCCTTTTACCTGGAAAATTTAGAACGGATATAAATTACCCTAAATTATCATTCATCATAATTTAAAACAGTCTTTCCTGCTTCAGTCATTTTCACTCATTTAGGATTTTCCGATAAATTCGCATTATGATTTGAGCGTTAGAGATAACATACTAGCATTTTAAAGCTTTTTGAAAGACAACCCAACATATTATAATACAACTTTTATGGTTTTACTTCATTGTTTACAATTACAAGCTTGGAATAAGCAAGCTTTTTTTTTGTTGATCAACTAAAATTTGAATTTAAAACTCAAATAATTGTTCAGTCCAATGTTTGAGTAGAGTTGTTGTAAACAGCATTTAAACGAAAATATTTGACAAATTTCTTTCTTAAGTATATGCCATAAGCATCGTTTAATCGCATGATCTTTAATTCATTTACGTGATTTAACTATTTTACGATTTAAGATTGACATTGTGATTGTTTTAAGAAATATAATGTATTTAATATCATGTGTAAATTGGCATTGTTTTAATCATTGAAATTGAATACAAGTTCTGGATTTTTAAATTTGAGTTTAAGGTATGGCGAAAGTATCATATTATAATTGTTTTCAGCAAATTTGTGTACTCTCGAGCATTGAGTTTTGTAAACTGTAATAAAATGAATTGGTTGGTAGCTAATAAATAGTAGGTTTCTATCTTGATTTTTCAAATGAAAATTATTGAAATATCGTTTCGGCAAATCTAGCCTAATGTGTTATATTTTACTTTCTGGAAATCTCAAAATGAGTAAAGTCTGTTAATGTGTAACGGGTGTATTATTTTCCACTTGAAATGATTATTTTTGTCGATTTCTTTCCTGTTGCTCTTTAAGAGAATTTCAAATAATTTATAGAATTTTTGCTTTCTTTTGGAATGTAATATTTAATGTTATGATAGTTGCAATTTAAGTTGTTTTCAATACTTTATTTTTCTAGATACTCATATAATTTACTCAGTTATTTTTTAAATTTAATGTTGTCACAATTTTCTTAGTTCATTTTTCACGATATAACGTTGGTAACGTTTTAAAAATTAAGTTTAACAAGAAAATAGATAATTCACGTATATGTACAATTTTATCGTCAAGGGTTTTCAAAAAGTTTCGCTTTTGTTTCCGTGAGAGATTTTTTAATGTGAGATAAATGTATGGAATGTACTGTGATATTGTGAGAATTTTAAGAACGAAACACTGGCGAAACACGCTGTGAATGGTAAGCCATACTAAATGTAAAAGGAATTTAGGGAACAAGCTTATCAATCATCATGGATTGGGAAATTGAGCAGCCATCCGCACGTAAGAAATGCGGCCGCATTTCTTGTTTATACTATCCTTTCCTCATTCAGTGCTGAAATTCATACCTCAGTAATTGTTTTGAAAAGTCAAGTGATCATTCTTATAAAAGTTAAAGTTGAATTGTTGAATTGTACAGTGGCCTTTGAAAAGGTTCAATTTCGTTACTCTCCTGGTTTTGAACAGTTAATTGATAAGCTTGTTCGTAATTAATTTTACGTACTTTAAATATTCCTCTCAGATTTTTCAAAGTCTGTATATTTCTAAAGGTTAAGAAAGTAGTTTGTGGTTGCTTTTCTAACAAGTGTAATTTCAGCAAGAACCCGTTCCGATGCCATCTACTCCTGCTATCCCTATTGCTGGGATGCCTGGAGGTAATTACTCTATTAATCAATCATTCCATTAAATTCATTAAGTTCGGAAAATTGAGTTGGTTTTAACAAGTTCACCTCCCGCTTTGACACGACTCTGTACTCTGGAGTCGGGTGTTACTTTTCTTTTATTTCTCGTGTTGGGACTGTCAGTTACCTTAACTGTCGTTCAAATTTCAGTGACTTACGTTACTCAAGACACGTTCGCTCAGCAGAACAGACATCAGTACATTGACCCAAATGACCCTAAATCGAGGACTGTGTACGTTGGAAATTTGACCTGGGTAAGTCAGATAGTGAAACTTTTACATCCTTGTACGCAAATATGACCCCTGCATTGCTACAATAGATGTGATAATTTTGTATTTTGACGACAATAGTGAAATACACAATTTTTCAATTACTTTAATACTTTGTCTCTTCTTTTTGTCGTCAACTTTTAATTTTTGTGCAGCTTTACGTCTATTTGTGGAGTGCTTGTTAAGAGTAACTAGTTCTCTTTTTTGTTTTTTGATGGTGCCGGACCATTGTGCCATATTCGCGCCCAATCAAAGCAATTTCACTGAATTTGTAACGCGCGGTGAAGATATAACGGGTAAATGATCTCCGCGGCGCGTTGCATTTTGACGCGCGCAGTGCATGCATGTAATATATGATTTAATTCTTGACTTCTATTCAGACTTCAGTCAATTTAATTTTAGACTTCATCACAGTTCGCATACATACTCATAATAAATGTTGAATAATACCATCCATTGATTCATTATTGGTAAAAAGCAGTACCACAACTTCTCTGAAACAAAGTAAAACACTTTCAATTCCTTTTTGCAGTGGACTACCGACCAGGATCTGATCCACGCATGTGCTAGTCTGAACGTACGTGACGTTTCTAACATCAAGTTTTACGAGAATCGGACCAACGGCCAGAGCAAGGGTTATTGCGCTATTGATGTAGGAAGTTTGAACAGTGCTAAAACTCTCATGCATGAACTCAGGAACGTGTAAGTAACTTTAATAGCAGAAGCTCGTGACTTACTCTTCTCAGGCATTGTTATTTTTAGTTTTTACAACAGCTTTTGATAGTGTTTCTCGGTTGAATTAAACCTTAAAACGTTATATTTCAGGACGATTCACAATGAACATCCATACGTGGCAATAGCTTCAAAAACTCCTCTCTATTACTTTGAAACTGCATTAGGAATTAAGAACGACGACAAGAACAAAAAAGGTATGGAATTACAGAATTCCAGTAAATTGTACAGTTCTGACGAATTTCGTTTAGATAATATACGTATAGTTGGGGGACGAGTAATTTCAAAGAGAGTCTTTTTCTGATTAACACTTTGTTCCTTCTGAAGTGAGTACTTAGAAAGCAGCGTCTAAATTTTACCATTACAGTTGGTTTCGATCCAGCAGTACCGCCATCAATGCCCGCGATGCCACCCAGAATGCCACCACTACCGCTTCCTGGAATGCCAGGTCTACCTCCCCCTGGAATGCCACCTCCGGGAATGCCTCGTATGCCACCACCAGGATGCCCTCTTCCTCCTCCCATGCCTCTCCCCAACCCCCACATGGGTATTACTCCCATGTTACCTCCTCCTCCTAATCTAGCCAGACCTCCACCCAGTAAGTGCAGAGGAGTTCTAATAAAACTATTTTACTTCTACGTCATTCAACTTTAACATATGCTAATAACATACGTTTCTTATATATAATGTATTTAATATCATGTGTAAATTGGCATTGTTTTAATCATTGAAATTGAATACAAGTTCTGGATTTTTAAATTTGAGTTTAAGGCATGGCGAAAGTATCATATTATAATTGTTTTCAGCAAATTTGTGTACTCTCGAGCATTGAGTTTTGTAAACTGTAATAAAATGAATTGGTTGGTAGCTAATAAATAGTAGGTTTCTATCTTGATTTATGCTAATAACATACGTTTCTTAAATCTTGTAGTTTATTGATAATTCCAGATTGAATTGAAGAAATTGTGCAGGTATTAAATATTTCCCCCTCAGTGGCTCTACCTCGACCGATGATGCCAACGATGCCCTTCGCACCCCTCTCGGTCCCCGTGAGTCAGATCGCCCCTCCACCCGTTAGTATCAGCGCTGCTCACGTTAACCCTGCGTTCCTGCCTGCTGTTGCCAAGGTAGGTCATTTCTACAGATATTGTTATCTTGTCATTTCTACAGATATTGTTATCTTGTCATTTCTACAGATATTGTTATCTTGTCATTTCTACAGATATTGTTATCTTGTCATTTCTACAGATATTGTTATCTTGTTATGACTGAATGAATGTTTATTTTTTTCTTATGCCCGATTATGGATGACCCCGATTTTCAATTCTTAAAATTTATTGGCTATCGGATAGTCAGCATGTGATTAGATGCTTGCTTCGATATATCGCGGTTGAGGAAAGAAATTGACTATCATTACTTACGAATCGTTGATATATAATAAGCTCCTTGCTCCAGCCAGAGGACTTGATGAGTGAGCAAGAGAAAGAAGACATGATTGACAAGAACCACCAAGTGTGCAAGACAGCAATCCTCCGTGCATACGAAAGCTGCGACGCCAGGGACTACGACCAAGCGGAGGGTACTGTGGCGGCAGCACTAAAGATCATCAAGATGAGTGCTGTGTCAGACGATTCCAAGAGCAAAGCATTCATTTCAGATCTTGAAGAATGTTTGGCGTACGTTCAGAAAAGACAGAAGAAATCTAAGTAAGTCATATTTTCTAGTAGGGCTGTGGACGTGTATAAACTGCACACGGAGCATTATATTTGCAGACATCAAATTTACTTTATATGTGAATATGAAAACGTTTCTCCGTGGAATTGAGATTCACTCTAACATCCACAATTCTACAGGCAATCAGGGAGGTCTGGTTCGCATCGGAGGACCGAGCGGACATCGGAGAAGAAAGCGGAGAGATCCTCAGATCGGCGTAGAACTAGATCACGATCCCAGGAAGAAAATAGAGACCGGAAAAGAGACAAACGTTCAGATAGATCAGACAACACCAGATCTGAAAATTCCAGATCCGACAACACCAGATCTGAAAATTCCAGATCTGACAACACCAGATCTGAAAATTCCAGATCTGACAACACCAGATCTGAAAATTCCAGATCTGACAACTCCAGGTTGAGCTACTGTGGGACTTAATAAGAATTCGTTTCTTGGTTTCATTTTCGATTTCGTCAATTTTGATCAGTATACTTTTTCATCCAATTTATTGCATCTCTAGCTCTTTTCTTATCTCATACTTAGCGCATTTGCACAGGCGAAGGATGAAAACCAGAATTCAGTGAGGTGCTGCCTATTAATATTTGTTTGTTACAGGTCTTACAACGACCGTTCTAAAGACTACGAAGACTACAAAGAACTGAGAAGGCGCGAACTGATCTGACACTCCCCAACTTGAATTCCTCATACTCCGTTCCTCCTGAATAAAACTCGGCAATTTTCTCCAGTTTATTGTGTTATTTATCCGTGTTTTAAGGGTGGTAGCTTGGACATGGTTCATTTGTTCTACAGTTTCAGTCACTTTTTCGGAGACCGAATTATGTCTAAATATTGTTGGTATATGTTTTAAAAGGGCAAACAATGCTTAAACAATGTGTTTCTATTATTATAATCATTTGCTTTTAAGGCATTGGACCGTTTTATTCTTTTATTGGTAGCATTGCATGCGAGTTGCATTAATCGCATTGTTAATGAATCGGGACGATTTGATATTGTAGTGGTTGTTAATCTTTGGTACGCGGTCTTACAGATAAGCTATAAATTATTTTTTTTCGATTTTCTGCTTAAAACTTCTTTCATTTGTTTCTCGTCAAGTTGATTCCTTCGCCGAATAAATTAAATTTTTGCGGTGATGTTGGACAGATGCCAAATAAACTCACCAAACGAGACCATAAGAATGTAGTCAGACTCAGTGTAATAAGCGCCATGAGTTGGCACAGATTTTTGTTTTCGATTTTGATAAAATTAAAGGTACGGAAAAAATATTTTCGGCCCATACTGATCAGAGAAGCATGAAACGTAGAGGAAAGTGGTTTCCCGGAAAACATTAAAAATTGGTGACTTCGAAAATGTTACCTCCGAGTCATTCTCGATATTTACCTCTGACGGCAGTCTCCCCGCTTCCGAGCATCGCAAAGGGGAATGATTCCAAGATCGTATATCGAGGAGTATGTACTGTTCAATCTATAAATGGGTTAAAATTAGCAGTTTTTTCCCTACTTATGATTAAAATTAAAGAATGAAGCAGAAAGTTAGAATTTAGTAACTGACCTCAACTAAAAGTAAACCTGAAAGTATCGATGTGTAAACTTGTGATGTCCATGTCAGTGTGTTCTAGTCAGCGAAACAGTGCGTCAGGAATGTTCAAGACTTTTAGTCAAGAACCTCATCACAACTTTCTCGCAAGTGTTATGTGAGGCCGGTAATATTGTTATTTATCTTATCATAATCGAGTGTTTGGGCCTGTTTTGTTTTAAAGTATTTATTTGTATGGTGCCCAAAACTTTGGCCCTAGTCAAAGTTTTGGACACCATTCAAGAAGTTATAATAATATTACTCTTTAAGACTAAGTAATAACATCAGTTCAACATAGATTAAAGTAATCTTTTTGATTTGAACCTACCCATTTCCCATCCAATGACAGCCAATTCATGTAATACAAGTTCTCCGGTAGCCTTGTAGAATTTGACATTATCACCCTTCCAGTTGCATTCAATTCTGTAAGTTTGTTCTTCTCTCGTCAGTTTATCGTGGAGATCGAGTTGGCCGCAAGCTTTTTGTCTAAGGTTATTCCCTTGGTAGACCATAACAGTGGCCCCAGATTGTTCCTCCTTACACGTTTTGAATTTCTCCAAGCTCGTGGTGCAGTGATCTTTTTCTACATACCAAGCCGTGAAAAACTGGCTGAAGACCACCACTTCGTCGATGAAATAAATCTTGTCCAAAGCAAGGTTAAGCCATACATCTTCTCCAAATGCGAAAGCTGCTGTGGAGAGGTCGTTGTCAAAGGACTTGTCTGCAGAGAAGTTATCCTCATCACTATCTTTTGTGTTAGATTGGGTTGCTGTTATTGAAGTGATCTCTTGCGGTTCATCTGATGTTGCTGAAAAAGAAGCAAGAAGTGATGATAATGTTAGCTCAATTTACAATTTATAAGCATGGAATTTTGTCAGCTGCTGGCTGCTGCAGTGCTGCTCGAATTATCATGTATTAATTTCATAATACTATATCACTTACCAGAGGGAGAATAAAACACATCAATCTCCGAGAAAGACAGTGTTGATCTTTCTGTCAAATCTCTATCAGTCATCATTACCTGATCTCCAACGAGTTTGCAATAGAATGTGTATGTTTGAGCCTCTACACTTCGTGATTTGCTATTAACAACAATGATTCCACATAGAGACTTTTTACCAGTTTCTGTGTTGACGACATTTACCTCAGTGTTGCTAAGTACGTGAGTGCAACAGTCCATCCTATTGATGACTACTATTTTTGTGATGGAATAAACCTTTCCCAAATTGAATTTCACCCAGTTTGCCTTACTAAAATCACCTCCATCTTTTGGGGCATACATGGTGTTTAAATTATCATCATACGCTTTTTCTGGTATTTGCCCGTTCGCGTTCGGGTGAATGCTCTGTGCCTCTGACGATACTATTTGTATCGGCTGGTCAATTCCCTCTGAAAATATGTATTTATATTATATTTATTAACAATGCCAAAATGCTCTAATAAAAACATCAACCTTTATTATTTATGCAACAGCAAACATTCTCTTTGTAACATAAGGAGAAATAGCCGAAGAAATCATTATAAGAATGATTATACCGGATTACTGCAAGCTGTTTTAAAGGTAGAAATATAAAATAAGCTGTTATGAGTGACTAGGGAGTGCATGACTACAATAACATGTACATACCAACAAAAGTTGTTATCCTCAAGACTAGGAGAACTCCAAAGAGCTTGAGAATGAGAAGCTGTAACATGTTTGTTGATTGTGTCCCACCAACTCTCATATAACTTAATCCTGTTGACGTTGTATGTTTGTGTAGCCTCGCGTTAGCGTTATTTCAAAATTATATCAAAGAGTATCATTCTAACTATTACTATTAGTCATAAGTCATAGTTTGTGCAAAAATCTTTGACAAGTGGAAACTTGTTAGTTTTCATGGGCTTCTTATTTCCTATGATATTATATTTGTCAAAACATCTCGTGGAGTACGTTCTCAGCCCGACAAACAGTTACCCTGTTACCTAGCTTGCTAACAAAATTTTTGAGAAACGTAAAGACCGGAGACACTCATACAACTTAGCATAACACATAAGTTAACTGTGATAAAACATGACAATAAAATTAAAAGCCAAAAAAGCAAAAGAGAAGCAATATGAACAATGAATTTTATGAATCTGCCAGTTTGGGGTGAAAGCGCCAAGCGGTGTAGTCAGTAATTCTCCGTGGCATGGCAGCCTTATGCTTATAGTTATTCTTATAGTTATAGACTTAGAGGAAAGATTCAAAAAAATTATGTATTCCATTTTACAACTCAATTGTACTACTTATATACTTATAGTTATACTTGTACTTGTACTTGTAGAAAAATAAGTCCATGCAGAGCAGCAAAATGATTGCGTAACTCCGACCAAACACGAGAGTACGAAAAAAGAATGAGAAAAAAAGATATTAGAAGAAAAATGATAAGAAGATTATTAAACATAAAACACCTGCCTTAGTTTAGTTGTCCACATGACACATGGTCATGAGCACTCATCTTGACTTTGAGTCTATTAATATTCGTTATCCTTAGTAACGTAAACTACCTGAGTACCAGCGTGCAGCGGTTATATAATTGAGACTTTACTGGTGACTGGGCGGCCTGTCATTCCGCCTAATCTGTGATCTCTTATATTCGTTTACGAACATTATAGCCTGGGGTCTCCAGGTAACGTTTACTATTAGTTAGCACATGGTACTACTACTAGAGTTGGCACATGACTTTGAGAAAATTTACGGCTGAACTAACGTTTTACTTTTAATTTACCTTAAATCTATAATTATCTGCGTTCGATCTGTCATCTGGCTCTCTCTACAATTACAATACGGGTAATGGGTACGGTATATAATCATAATAGGACACGAGGAGGGCCGAGGGCGAAGGTTGACGGATGTTAATGTTATATTCGATCACACGTTTGCTAATACTACGTTGGCTCATATTTCATAACTCATCAGACTTGGAGACGATTAACGGTCGCACTTATCAATAAACTTATATTATGTTTAATTAACCTAATTAATAATTATTTGCGTTTGATCTGGCTCTCTTTACAATTATGGGTAATACCAATGGCCAATGGGTATAAGTATAACTATAGGACCGGACATTTTACGCCATTTTTATTTAGGCCAATGTCATAAAACGGAGACTTTTTCTATGGAGAAAATGGAAAAACCTTATATTGGGGTAATTCTCCATTTTATGCCATCGAAATTAGACTACCAAGCAAATTTAACAGTTTACGGTTTCTTGGGCGACAGCATAAGGGGTCGTTCGCATATTACGTAATCAGCCGAGGGGGGGGGGGGTTTCAAATGCTTACGGTTGATTACGGGAGGGGGTTTTGGTCGTTGATTACGTAATCAAAATTTTAATTTTTTACCGATTTTAGTTGTCGGCTGTCGCCATCCAGCGCTAGTTGTCGCTATCCAGCGCTAGTTGTCGCTGGCTATGCGACACTGTCGCACCCGATAGTTTGTGATGGCCAGCGCAACTTGACCATTGTTAATGATTTGGCCCGGCGCGCGCTACTTCGTAGCTCGTGCCGTCGGGCCAACATTTCGAGAAGAAAGCGGCGCGCACTACTTCGAAGAAATTTAGACGAGTAACATCCGTCAACAGCGCAACTGGCCATCGCAGAAAACAGTTCGATAACTAGCGCTGGATAGCGACAACTAGCGCTGGATAGCGACATGACTAGCGCTGCATGGCCAGCGCAAAATATAAAAATCAAATATTTGCAATATTAGTATTACTCGTCCGCCAGCGCAATATAGTTGCGATATTACTCGTCAGCTAGTATATAGTGCTGGCCAGCGCTAGTCAGCGCTGCCGCTAGCCAGCCAGGGGTGTAGGAAGCGGGGGGGCAGGGGGCCATCGCCCCCCGGGCCCCGTGAAATTCGGGCAATTTAAGCCAAAAAGGGCCCTTTTTAATTTAGGCTTAATTGTTAATTTAGCGGGAGCTCGGCTTTCAGAAGTACGTATCGAGAATGACTCGGACAAAGTCAAAAATTTTCAAAGTTTTTCTGGAAACTACTTTTTTTCATGTTTCATGCTACCCTGATCATTTTGAGCCGAACATTTTTTTTTTTCGGTTTTTGAAGTCCGCACCTACCTTTCGATATACGATTTTGGACTCGAGGGTTTCCCTTTACTTTGTAATGCGATCTCGGAAGCTCAGGCCTCCTCTCTTCGCAATGCCAATACACAATACGAGCTCGGAAGCCGGGTTGTAGGTTTACAACTTGATTGACGATGTCAATCCGTCGAGATCGTTGCTCTGCGAAGCAGAGCAACGATCGTCGATCGTAATTTAATACTAGCATTTAATTACATTTTACATACTAATTATAGTAAATTGGATGTCATTTATCTAATTTAAAACGATGCAACAGTGATATGTCAAGTAAATCGGCGCGCGGCGCAGCAAATCGTCCATATTGAATTTACAACCAAAATTTGGTAGTAGAAAAAATAATTATTCCCTCCCTTCGATGCGAAGCAAGAATGCTAGTTTGCGCGGCGCGTCGAAGCGGCGAAGTCCTCCAAGTTTACAACCTACCAGGACGCGCGCCGAGTTGGACTCGTCGACGGTCCACCGTCCAATATATGGAGCAGATATTTTACGAGTATCACCCGTTAAAAGCCGGGAAGCGGGTGTTATTAACCACGGTACCAAATTAGACAGGTATTAGTTGCTAGCACCGGGTAATAATCACCTCTCCCATGTCCATGATATGTAGTACTTTATTTCCTCCAAGAAATTATTTATTTAGAGCTCCTTTTGACTTGGCTAGAACTATACATGGGAGGCCCCGGTTATATCAAGAGAGTCCGTCTCGGAAGGTTCTGAACCCACGATTGAGCGTCTTAAAACTTTTGTTTTAGGGAAATTATAATTTTGCTAGAATTCAGAGTTTCATGTTACTTCTTATTTAATTTAGTGCGGTTAGTGATTATAATTCAGACTTTCAATTTTGGTGGGTTAACACAAATTGAAACGACAATATAGAACAAAATATAGAACGACTAATGGTAGTATAATTAATGAGAGAAAAACCTTCTTAAATTGAAAAATGGTTATATAACAATGGAAGTAACCTTTTGATACTATACTAATTAATTGAAACGGTAGAAATTCTTCTCATAACCTATTTAAAGGAACTCTAAGTATATGTTGGTGCAATCACCTTTTGATATGTCTCTCTCTAAGAAATAGTGTAGGAGGGCTGGAATATCACGCGTCTTTGACTGAGTCTCACCGTCAACAGTTTGACTGTCACGAATGGTCTGAAAGCAATATCTTTTAACTATGGCAATAGAAACAATTTATTACGTAACCAACAGGAAATCTACTTTAAACCTGCACACGTCTTACTCGATAAACAATAATATAATACTTAATAAATTTACTATTTAAGACAACTACTTATTTTATGCGGACGTTATAACTGAACTAATTACCTCGGTTGACGACGGAGAATCAATTAATCTAGCAGGTATCGGCAAAGGCAGCACGTTCTGAGTAGGAAGATTCGGGTCTATTGACCTGGGAACGGAAACGGAAGTTTGTACAAAGTATATAATTTTGAGAGCACGAAACTACAATTACCAACTATATTCTTAAACCTACTTCATATGTAAAAACTAATGGAAAAGGATTTTACCTCAAGAACAACTTCAATCCGTATAATGGTCCTTCAAGTGAGAGGGAGATCGGGAATCTTATCGTCGTTAGCTTACTTCTACCCGGAAACTTAGTCACGGTTCTTTAGATTATGGAATGGAAGACTTGCCCGGTAAACTACACGATGTGTCGGTTCAGAGCAACCTGAATAGAATTAACCTTCAGTGTGTCGTATAGAATTTAAGTGGATATTGGAAACGGGAATAGACACTATAAACAATATAGATATAAAAATCACGTCAAACTATTTTATACGAAACAAAATACTAATATGAAAGGCTCACATTAAATCAAGGCAAGGAACTTACTGGAATACTTATGACTGGAAAGATTAAAGCATCCGGATGGAACCGGCATACTGGACTCTGTTATAAGCACTGCTATGAAACAAACTTATAAGACTGCACTGACCCGAGAAAGACATCGGATCTCCGATCTCTCTCCCTCTTAACTCCCTCCGACTTTCCCAGAGTCTATCAGTCTGGTTCATCAAAATCAGTAATTGTTCATCAAGATCGTTATTGCTCATCACGGTTTAAACTCTGCTATGCTCTGCTAATCATCCATTCTCACAATTCATAGATCTTCGTCTGAAACTGCGATAGGCTAGTCTGCTATCAGGTGATCTTCTGTGGTGTTCTGATTGTACACCTCCATGGAATGTCATCAACCGTGTCGAATTGTCTATTAGTTAAACACAAAACGCTTCATTTTGTTAATCAAACGTAATCTCTTCTCTAATTTAAATACACATCTTATTTCAATGATCTTCTAAACTTAACGATACCTATCTTAAACATAAAATTATTCAAGCTCAAAATGACTGGAATTGTTCATTACTATCTTCAATGGAAATGTGTTAACTATAAATCTAAATCATTTAACTATCTTTTAAAAGGAATATCGGAATTAGAGAGAATTTCGAGGTTCCTTACAGCGGGATCTCTGCTTTCAGAGGTACGTATCGAGAATGACTCGGACCGAAAATTTTCTAATATTTGATTTTTATATTTTGCGCCGGCCAACGCTGGCCAGCGCTAGTTGTCGCTATCCAGCGCTAGTTGTCGCTATCCAGCGCTAGAATTGTCGCTATCCAGCGCTAGTTGTCGCTATCCAGCGCTAGTTATCGAACTGTTTTCTGCGATGGCCAGTTACGTTGTATCACGTGGTGACCCCTACGGTCGTTTCACTATAGTACTAGTAGCGTCTTCGACGCTACAGGGGGAGCCGCGCACTTCGTGCGCGGCGGGTCATACAACGTATGACAACAGTTACGCTGGCCATCACAAACTATTGTGTGCGACAGTGTCGCATAGCCAGCGACAACTAGCGCTGGATAGCGACAATTAGCGCTGGATGGCGACAACTAGCGCTGGATAGCGACAATCATCGAACATTGATATTTTTGATTTTGCGCTGGATAGCGACAACTAGCGCTGCAGATGGCGATAACTAGCGCTATCCCATATCCAGCGCTAGTTGTCGCCATCCAGCGCTAGTTCAAGTTGTCGCGTTTTGACTATCGCAAAAGAACCGATTTTCGAAATACCAATTGGACAATTTTCGTTAATTATGTAATCAAAATTTTCGTTTTTAACCAATTTCCGTTTAGTATTAACCAATTACTAATACTAAACGAAAATTGTGTCTAATCTTGATTACGTAATATAGGAGGGGGTTGGGTCTTGATTACGGGGGGGGGGGGGGGGGGGGGGGGGGGGGGGGGGGGGGGGGTCAAACCTTGATTACGTAATATAGGGGGAGGGGGGGTTCGGTCTTGATCATTACGGTTGATTACGGAGGGGGGGGGGGGGGGGGGGTAAAACTTCGAAGAAATTTAGACTAGTAGTACTAGTAGTATCATCCGTTAATTCTGCGACTACGCTGTACGCATACGTATCACATTGATATGGTCAGAGCAAAAAAATGAGTCAGATTTTCAGGTTGTTACAATTTTTGGTTAGATTCGATGTTCAATCATGATTGTGATAACATTGATGGTAGCAAAGGAAACAAAACATTTTGTTAACAATAACATTGGATAAAATTACTACAAATTTCCAATTCAAATTTTAACAAATATAACACCAGGCCAAGAAAGTTGACTTGAAGTTTATCATGATACCGACTTCTCTTATAGCCAACATAGCTCTTCTAGAATGCTCGATAACAATAGAGATCGTAAAAATTTTAGAGGTCATACTCCTAAATTTCCTGCCTCAAACTTACATCAAATTCCCAATATTTTAAAGATAGAAAGCTAAGTCAGTACCATGAACTCCTTGGATGGATCATGATCTTCAGTAAAAAAATAGTGACCAGAGCCCGACATTTTATCTGAAAACTGTGTATCCTCGAGCCGGTCTGAAAATCAACACATTCGCGGGCGGGGGCCCCGTAAAATTGTTCCACCCTTAAACATACGCAAAGCTTTACACAAGTAAACTGTAGGTATTTAAAAACGATTTAGCAACACATGGAACGAAGCTAGAGTAGTTTTAATATATTATATGCGATATATTCGGAATAGGGGAAATGAATAAAAAGTTACAAATACACCTAGAATATTTATTAACAATTACACGGTATACTTAATACTACTTTAAAGAGTTTATATCTTATCTCTTATCTCTCATAATTACAACTGTAAACTGTTCTTCAGGTGAAGCCTTGCATTGATGAATCACGTTACAGGTAAGATTTTTGAAACTATAGGACTTAATTGCTGAAATTATTAACTGATTCTTATGTTGCTACGTAGTAACGATATACTTATATGTAAATTTATAAAATGTGTTATAGCAGGTATCATATTCAGAATAATAAATTTTCAGCATTTTGCTTAGCACCCCGTTAATTTGACATACTGAAAAATCCGCATCGGTTTGGGCAAGTTAGTTCCGAAATATTTCATCTGGCGATTTAAAATGCAATTTAATACAATGAAAAGGACGCCTATTATAGCACATTTCCATTGGATCGAGACGTCCATATGGTTATGTTATAATATGGCCATATATAACCACAGAACAATAATTAATTGCAGAAATTGTACGTCAAGCGCATAAACAGGGGGGCTAAGCTTGTTTTGATCAATGATTGAAATAATATATTCATTTGAAAGTCTCATTAAGTTTTACTTTTATACTGATCGTATATATACTTCGCAAGAAAAATATATAAACCCTGAATAAATTAACTTGCATCTTGTTGCATGGATTATTAATATAGAATAATTGATTTCAAATGTATCCTCATCCCATCATAATCTCTTTAAAAAGTGAACGCTGAAAGCATACTCGACCTTTAAAACAGGAAAATGAAAAACAGGCGTATCAGCACAACTTTTCCTCATTCACCAGCCGCTCCGAGAGAAAAACAGTGTTGTGAAATGGTTAGTTTAAGTTTTGAGAATTCTATTCAGTTTAAAATTATTCTTAACATAGCGTGTGCAAATCATCGAGAAAACAGGAAAATGGACAGAAAAGTTTGTCCTCTAAAAACCACAGAATACAACTTATAAAAATCTAATTCTTCTGTTCTTGCTTGAACTTTAAATCTAATCAATTAAACACGTTAATAATTGATAATTAAATCTTATCCGATGGTCGCAGCGCTTTAGGCTACATTATAACCCAGATCAAGATCAGATATAATTAATATATTATGTATTGATATATTCATCTGTACAAATTCTCAAGTTTTCTTCCTAATTGGTTAGGAACTGAAGCAGTAAATAGTAGATCGACAATCGAGGAAAATTTGCGTTGTCGCGACAAGGTTATGATTGGGTCGTTGACATGACAACGCGCGATCTGTTTCAATAACACCCGTCATCACAGTTCGTCGTCCGAGGAGTCGCTGTCTGTTTCTGAGCTCGAACTGGAACTTAACCGGGACATGTTCTGGACAGCTGGAATTTGGAGTATTTTAATAATTTAACCAAGGTCTTCGAAACTGAATTACTAACTTTGAAAATGACTAATTAACTCGCAAATTGATTGCATAAATTGTCAAAAAAGTGCCAATTTTTTCATCCTGATTGACTACGAGAGAGATCCCTAGTCTACTAATCAACAATAACTCACATTTTTGTCGCTTCCCACATTTGGAGCTGGTACTGGTGTCCTTCAATCTCTGTTCCAGCTCTTCCCTTCTCTTCAGCTTCTCTTCTGGCCGCAATCCCACTGTCTTCTTCAAAGCTGCGGATGGGTCAGGTGACGTCACTTTAAATTTGTTTATTTTAACTAAAATACATATTTCAGAACCCCAACTCAATTGGGGCCCCACTGCCGATGAATATCGACTGAATACCGTCCTAGTTCAGGTGAACAAAGTGGCCACTGTAAAGTGTGATATGGTCCCTGCTGTGGAGTGAGCCTAAAAGCTCTCTCCTGGAATCCCGCGTAGATATGGAGGCTCTCTTATCAGTGCCTACACTAATTGTAGCTCACTTTGTGCGAAAGATAAAGACCCGAACTATGAGTTTTTCACAATGGGATAGAGCGCTTTAAACGAGACAGGGTCAGTGCGAGGAGGATGAGAGACCGGGTCAGTGGGATATTATGTCACATTTGTGGTACAAAACCATCAATTAAACCACTTATCACCGGCCGATTTAAAAAAACTTAACCTGTTAGGCTTCGTCAGAGTTGTGCCAGAAATGTACCGAAAAAAATCAGTCCCGTAACTGTTACCTTATCTTTGGAGAAATCCAGTTTCAAGAGTACTCTGCCCGGTAGGGACTAGGGAGGCGTTGTACAAATAGAACCGCCGTTTTATTTAGATAGACATATATCATATATATTATATAGAGCTCATTTGCATTGGTATAACTTATGTTACAAGCCCCACCAACAATGCGGTTAAAACGGACCTAATTTTATGGCTCTAGCCCACTTTAAAGTTCAATGGCATTGTCAACAACAAAGATACACACTCATCCTACTCAGAATATGGAAAGTTAAGTCATTAGTGGGTAGCACCTTATGAGCAGCCAATAGATACCCTCACATCCTCACACGTGACACACCACGTGATATAAGGTCAGCAAAGAGTGAGCATGCTCTCCTTGTAGCCACAGTACAAGCTTCAACAGTTTATTTTTGTTTGTGAAACTACTAAAACTTGCTAAAGTATCGCGATAAATAAACCACTGCATTATCTCTTGAAAACCAGCTGGGATAAAGAGAAGATGATTATCTTCTTCACCTTCCTTTGGGCGGCTACGATTGCTACTGATGCTGACGGTAAGTTATTATAACCAGAGATAGTGATAAGGTGCCGGTCCAGTAGGGAGCTTCTAACTAGCTTCTAACTAATAGGACATTATTATAATCTATACAACTACAATATTATTAGGTATGAGGGCTCCTGGAAACACATAATTTATATGAGAGGTTTCTCTCTGATCATTGCTGTTCCATAGTTCATATTAATCGTAGTTGGAACTGTAGCATTCAACAAATAAAATTACAGGTTGGGTACCAATAGGAGACGAGGACATAGAATACGATTTAGAGAAGTACCCTCTTCAACTCAAGATCACCGAAACTAGCAAACAATTAAATTTGTATTTCTTTGACAAAGATTATGAAGAAGCGGGACAAATCCGACTTATGTTTAAGCCTCTGAAATATAAAGTACAAGACGCGTGTATAAGAGGATTCATTGAGCTTCCGTCCAACTTCCCGAGCGAGACGACCAATGAATGGGTGATAACCAAAACTACAGAACCGCGTGTTACAATCCAATTTAATGATATAAAAGTGGCTGACATCCCGATATCATATAATTGTGAGGAACAAGAGGTTTGGAATAGAGATGTGACAACGATACGATTCAACGCTTGGGGAGCAGCCGCTAACAGTAACTCATTCTTCTACATTCCAGCAACAGCAGGTGACTATATAGATTCAAAATAATTGTTCTATAACATATCTGGGTCAGATTTTAAAGGGGGACAGTTCAAACTTTCAAAACATATCAAGTTCTCGTGATAGCTTTTCGAGACATGAAATCTTCTTAATAAATTACAATTTCAGCGAAATGCGAGGATCTAAATGTGGGCCACGCTACAGTTTTGCAGAGTGAGGACTCACTCGCCACAGTCACATGCTCTAAACGTTACGCTCTGATTGGTGAGAAGGAGGTCACGTGCAAAGATGGGGAATGGTCAGCAGTGCCAGAGTGCAGAAAATGCGGTATGGAACATAGTCTTTTAAGAGTCAAGTTTATAATAGTTTGTATGACTATGTAATTAACTACGATGATTGCAAGGCAGCAAAATCGAAAAGCAGTAGGGCTGCTTTTCGGTATTGTGCGCTTAAAATATTTGACCACGGCCCTGTGCAAAATGTTATAGTTAATTACATTAGATATTTAGACCCAAAATTTCATTGAAAATATTTGAATGATTTAAGAGTATTCTAGTAATCCCGATTATTACCAAATTACTGGCAGTGAGAGGAAAGATTTCTCGATAACAGGTGACCGTTTAAACTTACCATTTTCGTAAATTAGTTTAAATTCGATATAACCAGCTACAATAAAAGGGACATTTTTGGTTAACAACTTTTCCGCCTTTATCATAATATGTTTTATTGAAGTTCCAATAATATTCAACTTTACAGGTCACGATCCAGACACTGAAACAGAACATCAACCACGTGATATGAGATCTACAATATCCCTGATCCAGCAATATCATGATTAGGAACTAATTCATTTATTCGAACATTTTTGCATGATGACCCAGTTTTGATTGTAATTTATTTCTGACAGATTATTGAGCATTTTACGCCTTTATTTGATTGATTTTACTTCGCCTCCCGAAATAATGAATCAAATCTAAAATCTTCGTTCATTTGAGATTGACTGGATACAACATTTAAGAGCAATAAATCGTAAGGCTTACGGGGAATCTTTTTCTGTTCTTTAAGGCAGTCATCGGTGTACTTCTGAAGTTCTCGGAGAGTGGATGGTTTGAGGGTATCGAAATCGATTTCAATTTCTTCTGGGTTCGTATCTTGACCCTGAAATTGAAGGACATTGAATTAAAAATAAAGATCAACCTCTTTCAGGATTTATTAGGATACTAAACAAAAGTGCTGGAACGATGTTTCATTTTCCTAAATTTTCACAAATTTTCACAAATTTCCAGTAAAATACCTGTAAGTTGGGTTCTCTGCTCTGAATGATAAGGACGACCTTGCCCAGCTTGTCTCCGGGCAGCTGGTTGATGTTCTGTGAGAGTTGTCTCTTCTCGTCGTATGTCATGGGTTTACAGTCCTCTTCTCGGAGTGTGGGGGTGGTAGACGTGGCTGTGGCCATCGTTATCCTCCTGTCACAAGACAGTGTTAAAACTTGGGGATTGATTCTAGGTTTAACCGGAGCTAACAAATTTGTCATAGTAGAGTATAGAACAAAGGCCAGATCAGAATATGTTAAAATTCATTGGACAAAAGGTAAAACATTAAAATCACTTACTCAGAATGTTCTGCCTTTTTGGATTGACGTTTGTTAACTCTTGGAGCTTTAGGTGCCCGAGGTTTCTTGGGTTCTTTAGGAGGTTTAGGCTCCCTTGGTTTTCGGGGAGGCTTAGGTTTAGGAGATTTGATAGGTGGTGGAGGAAGTGCTGCAGGTTGAGGGGGAGGTGGAGGAGGCGGAGTAGGCGGTGGAAGAGGCTGAACTGGTCGGGGTGGAGGACTGGCAAGGACCGGACTGGTTACAGGGCTGGGTGGCACGCTGTGGGATGTTTTGGCCATCTTGGCCTTCTTTTGCTTTGCTTTCAGTTTCGTTAGCAGAGCTATCTGTTGTTCGAATATCTTTATCTGCAAAGTGGGCTCGGCTAAATATAATCTTATCAAATAAAACGTATATCGTTATTCACAACGTTTCTTAAATATTTTTGAAAGCAATTTGTTAGAAGTTTTTCATTTACCTGTCCCTTCAAGTCATCGATAGCGTTGTCGTATGACAGGTCCAGTTCTGACTCGGATTCAGCCTCACTGGAGGTATCCACAACCTGATCAACTACAACAATCTTCTCTGGGGGAGGGGCAGAGGGAGGGGACTTCAACGTCATTTTAGCAGGAAGGGGCGTTGATCTGGCTATTGGTGGTGTGGGTTTGGAAGGAGTTTTGACGGATTCGGAGCTCTTCTTGGTCTGTCTTACTTGAGCTTGTTCCACGATTTTCTTGAAGCGTGACTCAAATGAGATCTGAAAACAAAATTGAACATCAATAACAGTTTCAAATTTCTCACTTAAATTCATTTCACCTATCTCAACAAGACACGCAGCTCAGGGCGATAAAATCATGTAACACAACAGTTCCTAACCTCTAGTTCCTTAGCCATGAGAACAACATCATGTCCAGGAGGGTTGTACCGATAACAGTTACTAAATATCAGTCTCATATCTCCCGCAAACTCCTTATCATCAGTGTACTCTCCCTTCTCCATCTTAGCCTGAGGTGATACCATGGTGTTACCACCTCGCTCTGTACGTTAAGTGTGATTATGCAACACGTGGATATATTTGTTAAGACACTAAGGGATGAGTTGCTGTGTGAATGTTATGATGTTGAACCGTTGAACGATGAAAAGAAAAACGCGCCAAAAGGAGTGGAAAAGCCGCATCTCCACCGTTTATAATTTATACATCATTATGTTCATTTTAATAACACATGATTAGTGCTGGAAACTGGCCATTATGGACCATAAGAGCTAGCATGAAGGTATTCAGAGGGCATCATTGCAATGTACGGACTGTTACCAAGTCTAGAGTCTAGACGCGTTACTCATTGTTTTAATATATTATATCTGTCTTGGCAGTGACTACTGGATATGGTTAGAAGAGTAATAAATGAGGTAGGACAACAGAACGGAAACCGTGTGAGTTGTAATTAGTAAATAACAATATATTCTGTTAGGTTGTGTTCGTGAATTATATAGACAATTAGGTGTTAGATGCATTGATGCAGACTGTTGTAAACCATGACGTGTAACTTGTTAGATTAATATGATGGCAAACTTTCAAGTAGAAAAAAAAGCTGAAAGTAACTGGAACGCATCTGTCTGTTTCAAAATATAAGCTGACAGGCTGGATAAAACAACCAACTGCAATAAGGAAAGTAATCATGACTTGTATGTTAAACATTAAAAAGGCCCTTAATCACTCACCCTGATAGTACCGAGGTCCATGGGTTTCTTAATGATAGTGAGGTAGTCGTGTAGTCCCAGACTGGCATGGTCAACAGGTTGGTAGAAAGGCCAGGCACTTGACTTGTGTTTACGACCCATCAATTCCTTAAGTAACGTGTGACACTGCCGTAACTCGGTGCTTTGTTTTGGTTTCTCAAACTGTTGGAGGGGTTTGGATTACAAAATAATGATACAATTAGAGGGTTTAAACCAGGAACTTGTGTTTTTTAACATTTACGGATGAAGACTTGTGAGTTTAATAACGGACGTACACGTCTTGGCAGTTGGCACTTGCTCAAGAGCATGCAATAGCGAAACTATTTGTTCGAATTGTTTTAAAAGTTTGTTTTAAAAGTTTGTCATAACTAATTTGTTATAACTGTTATAGTATAGAGTGAATTTTAACTGAGAAGCACTTACTGATGATGGTGATACGACTTTTTTGGGATGTCTGTTACGAACAGCTTTAGTTTTAGGAACGACGGGGGAAAGAGTAGTCGTGCTGACCTGAACAGATAATGTTTTAAATGGAAGGTTTGTTTTGAGAAATTACTATGAGAATAGTAGATTCAGTAATCAGTATGAATCACATGTTTCGTTTTAAAGTATTTACTCAAATTCTTAGGGTCAATACTCAATTTCAGCACACTTTCCCATAAAATCTGGGTTTGATAACCATCCTTACAAGTTTATACAATGACATTTAGTTCATTGTTCAAATTGTTGGCAGACACCAAATATGGGAGCTGTTCTATGAGGTTCATGTTTGAGAAAACCAGCCAACTTGCTTAGCTTACATTCTGCATTCTGATTCAGTAAATTTGGAAAGTTATAAGTTGTCTGAAGTAAATTTGGTCACTGGAAAACTGGTCACAAACCTGGTCACTCGAGAGAGGGGTGGTTGTATCCGCTTTCCTTTTCACCCCTTTCTTTACAGTCACTTGAACTGAGGTACTACTCACGTCCTCTTTGGACTCTGATACAAATTTGATCAGATTTGAAAATTTCACAGAATTTGGTTAGATTATTAGAAAAGAAAAGTAATTATATAAACTATTGATTGGTGGTGATTTGAAAAAAATAAGGTACCCCATCGAACAGAATATGTAAAATAAACCAAGGTCAAAAATAACAGAAATAGTCTTGTGAACGTGTAAGATGCTGGAATCAGATTTAGAATAACAAACATTGAGACAACCTCTCCAGCACATCTATTATTTACATTTCAGTCCGCAGACCTGACAAACTATGTTCCCAAACATAACAATGTGAAAAACTGGACAACGTAAAATTCCAGCTGTGCCCCCTATAGTCAGCACAGCACAGGTTAATTGTAACCATTTTGGTCACAACCACTAAACCACTTATAACATGACTATGCTATGTGAATCAAAATCTTAACAGCACAATGTACCTTGTTTAGTTGACATTTTACCTAAACTGAATGGCATGGGGGAGTGTTTTTGAGTGGCAACGGTTCTGATGGGGGCACCAGGAAAAGCCGGGATAGGGTAATTACTTTTTGTGGTGGGGGTAATGGGAGTTGAAGCTGAGGATGACGTCACAGGTGCAGACTTTGGTGCCACAGCAGGCTTTGTGGTCTTTGTAACACGTACTTCGGGCTGAATGGGGAATGATTTAAATTTTATCATCATTTAGTTGCTACTTGTCAGCTAAAATCTGTAGTTAAGATCTTAAAGTTAAACCACCACATGTTCAGCAATACGTTAAACCACCGCAGCAATACGTGGACATGGTACCTTGTCGTCCCTCACCTCGTGATCCGGGAAAGCTTTCAGTTTCTCCTGGTATACTGCCTCCAGTTGCTTTGCCATGAAATATATGTCCTGAAAATTAATAAATAGTTTTTGTTTGGTTTCCCAAAGAGTTAAGCAGGAACATTATATTTCGAACAATTGAAATCACTGATGATTTGTTTTGTTTTACACATATCATGAAACGAATCGTTTGCCCGCCAATTTGATTGTTTTCAATTGTCCTGAAAATTATGTGCTACGATGAAATCGTCGTTTATTGCCCACAGTAAGATAAGACAAAACATGATGAACAGAATTGGAGGATTATGAAATAAAATTTAGCACAAACATCTTGCGGCTTGTTGTAGAGAAAGCAGTTGTCAAAGACTTGTTGGCAGTCGGCCAATGCCTCTTCAGCGTCAGTATAGACGTGATCCTCAATATTCTTCTTGATTGTGCCGAAATCCATTGGTTTCTTAACAACCGTTAAATAATCCTGTAACACAAACAACAATTTTAACTTACTGGAAGTAAACAACTTAACAAAACACGAGAAGCAAGTCATACCATTCATTAATTTGAGAACACTGCCATTTCTCTAGCAGTCGAAGCTATCAAAACAGTTTAAGTTATCTGAACTAATTAGGAGGATTCCTTAAGTTCGATTTACCGGTATATTGAGAGCGACTGGATCGACTGGTTTCTGAAATGGCCAGCAATATCGGTTCCTCCATAGAGGTTTTACTATCTTATTAAGAAGGAACTGAAGGCGAGTGGTGGTGAAGCCTAGGTTTTCTGAACCGTCTGGGTTTGGCGGCACTTCATCTTTCACCTGGACAAAATGTTTTTGTTTTAACCTGTTCGAACATATAAAACAACAAATGAATTTCGGGGATCAATAAATTTAGTTTCCTGATGAAAAAATTCGGACAAAGTCAATATCTGAAGCATAAGACGAACCATTTCACCCACCAGTAGAGTTTTACTTTCAACATCCTCATATTTCGAAGAAGCTCGCCGGATTCTCTTCCCTAGCGGGCTCGTCTCCTCAATATTCTCCACAACTGCAGGAGCACTTGTTTGTTCCACAACAATTTCAACTGCTTCTTTGGCTGGGGAGTCAACCTGTTTGACTGGTGATTCACTCGAGTTGATGTGGGTAGTTCCTGTCGTAACATCAACCGTTTGAGACTCCTCAACTACCGTCCCCATACTGAAAATTGAGGAGTTTGAGATGAGGACCATCCGTAAATGATATGATCGTAGAATTCTTGTAAACTATTTTCTGATTTGGGCAGTGATCTGTCGATCAATTTCACTGTCAAAGATGTTTTCTCTTCGTCGAGGCGATAAAATGGAGACAACGCGTGTACGTTCAGTGCGCGTAAAAAATGTGCTAACTACAATTTTAGCGCAATAGAAAAGATGTGTATTTTGGACAAGAATTTCGCGCCTTACATTACCCGCCAAGTGTAGACCCCCTAGACAGGCGGGCAAAATGTTCTAAAGATATGCTAATAATTCAGGAGTTTGTCATATGTGTATGTTTTGTAATGTGGAAGAGTACTCAACTTCAAAGCTGAGTTGATTGCTCAAGACAGTGCGTGTAGATCAATAGTAGTGTTATTACTCAAAGGTGCATGCTTTGATTTATTCAAGTTAATGATATTTCTATCCAAACCGTTTGTTTACGAATGTATTATGGAATTTTAGGGTCTCAAGAATTGTTGAAAAACATTCCTTTTTCAGAACTACAATTATGGCTAAACATACGAGTGAAATGTCACAAATTGGCGATACTGGACAATGTCAAATTATCACTGTGCCGAGATAGAAGAGATGTATCAAATAATACAAATAATGTTGTACAAATCCAGGAGAATACATGTACACATAATGAAAGTTGAGGCTATGACTAAGAATTATCCAAATATTCGCATATTTTTTAGAGAAGATAAAAAGTTTTAATCAGAAGCTATGCAGAGCAAGCACACAATTCTTAATCTCAATTGAACTGGAGCACATCATGGCAGATTCAGCGTGTACACATTAATTATGAGTTGGTGTAAAAATCAGTAAATATGGATTAACGTGTATGTTTATTTTTGCGAGCCCTGCTTTTCAATTTCATGGTGAATATTTAAAATCGTATAGTGAGTAGCAAGCAATAAGTAGGTTACATTACCTACGATAAGCAAATACAATCAATCACATGTAATTGGCGTTGATTAGCTATACAAGAAGTAACTAATAGGCGAAATAGAAATCTTAAATATTGTTCAAATCTTAGAACTGTACTTTGTCGTTAACATTTGCTCTGTCAAGGATGAATAAAATCCACTAAACCTGAAACTCAAGCAATTAGATCTCTTTTTATTCTACTATCATGTATGTTTCTACCTTGCAACTAATGAAGCCATCAAACAAGGTAGTAGGTACGGTGGGTCAGAAACATCTGATAATTTTGATTTTTCATACATAATAGTGACATAAAGTAATGTGACGGAATTTTGATTCATAATATTGTAACGGACACCCAAATTTCACATTTGAGTGGTTTCAAGAACCTTGGTGCACAGAAAAAGGTCGGTCTAGTTTAAATGTTCCTTATCTTCTATTATAAACCCATATTGGGGGTTTTGGTGAAACTGGATCAAAACTAAATAGCGCGAAATCAGCTGTTTTACCTATACTAATAGATATTAACAATCTGGACCAAGATAGTGCATACGGTGATTAAATGAATACACCTGTACTTCATTTCATAGATAGCTAAAATAATGGGAACTCGTACAAAACATATCGCTATTTGACTTCATCGATATCTATGAAAATATCAAAACCAGAACTATCATTCAGTTTCTGCTAACTGATACGTAGTGAACAAAATAAAACTAAGGCAAGACGAAAAGATAATCTACTGAGGGCACTTTCAAAAACATCTGTCACGGAAAAAATGTTAAAATTTGCCAAAAATCAGTTTTTGTGGCATAATTTGGTGGATAATTTTTGGAACGGGATGAAACTCCAGAATATGGTGTGCTATACCCTAACCTTTACTATCTGCCACTTTTTGTTTCGATTTAGGGCTAAATCTGGTGGATAAAAGTGAAACAGACCAATCCACTTCAGGTGGCCTTTAAAAATATTTAATTCCATCTAAACTCCTAAAATATGATTGAGACTTAACAATAATCGTTATAACTTCATAATTTCATAAGTAGGGCCGGGATTTTTCTTAAGGGCCAAATTTGGTGGATATATTTTTTTACCTCTTTTTTAAGACTGTTATTTGTTAGCTAACATCAATTTACTGGTCTTAAAATGATGCAAAGGCAATGTTAAATCTATGGCATCAACTATGAAGTACAAGATTCAAGTTAAAAGGCTATTTTTGGTGGATATAAGTCAATATTAATTAGTTAAACACGTAAATGTTACCAAAATATCAATAAATAAGACATCATCATGATTAGAAACAGTTGAAAAAGATGAAATATAAGATGTTGAACATTTATGCATAAGGTACTATGGCATTTTAAGCATTCAGGGCCAATTTGGTGGATAATTAACTCAAAAATACTTAAAATATCGACCTGGATATTTTGATATCCATCAATTTTGGCCTTAAAACTCGGCTTGAGCTTATCACATTTTGTGCTGAACAAGAAAAAGGTCTAAACAAACCAATATCAGTGTATGATTTCATAATCGAGCAAATCTAAGGCCAGAAATAGTGGATAAAAAAGCAAATTTAACCGTTTTTAAGCTAATTTCTTAGGCATTTATCCACCAAAAACGGCCCTAAATGGAGAATGTTTGGAACGTTTACTTGAAACTATAGCCCTTCTTTTCGATCTCAGAGCAATGATTTTCAGCTCTTTCGACCTTAAGATATAATTATTGGGCGTTGAAAGTGGATCACATACGTTATCAGTCAAGAAATCGTTATTTCAATCACTGAGGTAGGTTATTCACATTTAATATCCACCAATTTTAACCTTAAAAGTCGTCTTGGACTGAAAATTCTTTTGAACTGAATTAGCAAAGGGGATTTTCTATCTAGAAACAGTTGTAGTTTCATGATAGAACACATCTAGGGCCAAAAATAGTGGATACAAAAGCAAATTTTCCCGTTTTGGTACTTTTATCCACCAAAAACAGCTCTAAAGGCTGAAAGGAAACAGTTTGTTAAGTTCGTATGAAACTATATCCATTCATTATGGCCCTAGAGCAATAATTGTATACATTTTCAGCTTCTAGACGAGATAATTGGGGTCTAACAATGGATAACCTGCATTATTGACTCAGAAATTGACTTAAAATTAAATCAATCTTGAAGCTCCAATATATCCACCAAAAATGGCCTAAAAATTAAATCTTCTATGCTATCATAAACTTGAAACGATTTCCAACCTGATCCGTTCACTGAGTAAAGCTGGTGAACTTGTTGACCAATATAATTTTTTCAGTTGAAAATTTTCGGTATTGAATTTTATTTCATCGTTTTATTATCCACCATATCTAGCCTTAAAATTGAAATCTTTCTTTATTTTCGCCTTTTATCATAGAGGCATATCGATTTGCTACAATTCTATCTTTAAATAATCACCATAAATTAACCACACGTAAAGTTACAGGCCAACAAATGATATATCCACCAAACCCCTCTGAAAAGTATATCCACCATTATTAGCCCTGATTTAAATGCGTGTATCTCTGCTCATAGACATAGTAGACATTTTATTCTTTTTGTAAAAGTTGAACTATCGTTTTTTGCGCCCACTTTGCCTACTAAACGGTACTAGAAAGATATTGTCCATGATAGTCTTGAAGCGCATCCAAAGGCAAGTATCTCAATACACTGGTCCTTGGCAGAATGCCTATAAACCTGGCCATAGTTGTGCAAATATCGTTTGGACCCAGCGAATACTAGTGTCAGTTGTCAAAGAAAAACGCTGGTCTCTTCATAAGATGGGCATTGACATGTCCTCTGCTTTTGATACCATAAAGAGGTCGGTATTACTTGACATTTTAGCTGATGCTGGTTGTAGTGAGGACGACATTCGACTGGTAAGGTATTTGCTCGCAAATACTAAACTGAAGATCAAAGTGAACTCAACAATATCGGGAGAGTTAATTGTCACGATTGGAGCTTTTCAAGGCGACAGTTTGTCTGGAAACTTGTTCACTCTATATCTGGCAGCAGCACTTTACCACCTGCGTGCTGTTATGTCCTATCTAAGACCTAACCCTCCCATAGCTGAGAATCTGTTACCCCTCGAGTGGGAGTATGCAGATGATGCTGATTTTACTGATGAGGATAAAAGCAACTTGGAGTCTTTGTTGCCAATATGTAAAGAGATATTGGAAGAGTGGAATCTTTTTGTCAATGAGTCAAAAACCGAGTTCACCCACTTCTATCTGGCCGGCAAGAACGAGGTTGATGACAAAGGAGAGCCACTCAGAGGTAGAGAACCTTGGAGGTCATCTATCTCTTTAGGCTCTAAGTTGTGTAGCATCGAAGATGTCAAGAGACGATGTATACTTGCTAACATTGCTTTTCAGAACTACAAAAAAGTCTGGGAACAAGGTAGACGTATACCCTTGAAGATTCGACTCAAGATATATGAAGCACAAGTTGTTTCAATACTGATGTATAATTGCAACAGTTGGGCAACATCTAAACAACTCCTTCAAAAACTTGATGTCTGCCACAGGAATCATCTCCGTACGATCATCGGCATGACCTACCCTAATGTCATACGAAATGTGACTCTATACAAACGCTGCGAAGTTGTTCCACTTAGTGAGCGTGTTGCTCGTGCACGGTGGAGAATGCTCGGTCACATCCTCCGCAGTGATAATAACTCACCTGCCCAGCTTGCCTTACATTTTGCTGTAGAGAGTCAGAGTTTGATGAGAGGTAGAGTCGGACGACACCAGTCAAACTTGTTAAAAACTATTTTGAACGATTTAAGTGACAGAAACTTTAGACTTGTAAATACAGATGATTTATACCATTTAAGACTTTTTGCAACAGATAGAAAAGCATGGAGAGAGTTAAGCATGATTTAGTTTATTCTGTGTTATTTTTCTCTTGGTGACTTATCAGGTCATCAAGATGTTCTTTATGTTCTATTTTTGATTTGAATAAAGTTATATAATAATAAATATAATGAACTATCGCAAATCCTATGCTGAAAAAAAGTTTAATCAAAATATTGAGTTTATCCACCAAATGAGAGCTTCTAGAAGTTGAAATTTTTCCCGTGACAGATTCGTTAACATAGTTTTTGAAAGTGCCCCTGAATATTATAATCTAACAGTTTTTTGCTAGATTTTGTTCGGAATTTCACTTAAAAGAGAGCTTAAAGAAATAGTCGAGCAAGATTACTTAAGATAAATATACAGTATTTAAACAGCTTCCGCTTCCAATAGTAACTAATAAATGAAGCGGTTAAATGCCCTTAAAAATTGAGAAGATAAGAATTAAACCGTAATTCCTTAGAGAGGGTTAATTAAATTGTAACAGGAATTTGAATGACCTTAAAATGCTACGTGTAACTTTTTGGCAAGTATGTAAGTATACTACTTACTGTTTCATTTTATATATATATATATGGAACAGTAGAACTATAAGAACGCCCACCAAGATCCGTATCTACAAGGCTGCTGTTTTTACTATTCTGTTATATGGAGCTCAAGTGTGGAACACAACAAAGAAGCAGATGAAACGGTTCGAGGTCTTCCATCTGACCTCCCTGAGAAGAATCTTGAAGATAAAGTGGTTCTTCCATGTCTCCAATGAAGAAGTTCTCAGGCGTGCTGGAATAAAGTCTATTGAAACTTTCATCGGTTCGGCTAGACTAAGGTGGTACGGACACGTTGTCAGAATGCCAGAGACACGGTTTCCCAATTTTCTACTGGATTGGAAATCAAACTATGGAAAGAGATTGAGAGGACGACCCAGCAAAGGCTGGATGGCCTGTGTACTCGAGGATGCGGCTGACTTTACAGGTGTCGATAACATCAGCAGAGACGCAGTAAAACAGTTAGCTCTACAACGAGTGGAATGGAGGAACATGATACACCGTAGAAGAGATGTGTGTGATGCAGGCCACTGCAACAACTAGGAGGAGACCTCTTCATGTAGCATGTATGTATGTATTAGTTTAAGGGCACGGATCCAATGGGCAATGGTTATACGGCAATATTTAGATAACTTTGTCACACTCATAATACGATGCCTCTTTTTTACTGTGAGGTGTCCTCAAAACCTTCAAAAAACTTATTATGTGATGGTTCTTCTATCGATTGCAGCCCTATTATATGCTGTGTTGAATGGTTGCCTAATACACGCGCTCACCCCTGCAGATCTGCACCTATGCACGCACTTGGTTTTTGGGAAATGAGGTTAATTCTGTCACATTTTATAGAATTTTCAATTTTGGGTGCATTGCCGAAATCATTTTTTTTCGATTTTGGTTTGAAAAGCGGGAAAACTCCATATAAGGAGTTTGAATGATACAGTTGATTCAAAAGAAGGCAGTTGAAGTTAACATTTTCACAAAAATGATGCGACGAAGTCAACTTTTATTGTCCCTATTTTGAAGAATTATACGTCTATTAGAATTCAATATTCTTTTAGAAATAATTGGTAGTTTAACGATGTTAAGTTAAATTTGGCTAAGTCACTCAAAATGTGACAGTATTAAAATGTTGTGCCCCGACAATATAAATTTAATGTGGAAAACTGTGTGGGCTACTATATTTCTTGTGTTAATCAATTTCAACCATAATAAGAACTGTCGATGTGAACAACAAATTATCAAACATTTACGACAAATTATGTGACGAAATTAACATTGCTTGCCCTATTTTGAAGTTCATCATATTATCTCTATTAGAATTCAATATAACTTTATCATCATACAAATTTCGATAAACTAGTTATCTGCCAGCAAGGAGCAAACAGAGGTATAATAGTTTTTGTGACAAAATTAACCTATTTTTTTACCATGTTGCGATGTTTCAATTGTGACACTGTAAACATATTACTACCACAGAATAATTTATGTGACTGGTGCGTGGTTGTAATCTTACTATATATAAAGCGAGACGATATATATATATATATATATATATATATATTTATCGTGCCATTTTACTGACACCACGGCATCATCTTTAACGCGACTTTCCGCAAAAACCGTAAAAGATATACAACTGAAACATTTTTGACTGGGTTGAATGCTTTTATGCTTTTCAAGACAGCATGAAAAAATAAAAAATTGGCCAAGGAATAGGAGTTTTAGAGCCCAAAATTTGAACCCCAAAGTGGTGTCAAAAACGCGAATTTTTTTATCTAGACACTTATTTTACTTCGGTGTATTCCAACAGCCACAATGTTACACAAGTGCAACCAGCCAATTACAGGAAGCCGAAGGATCTTTTTGGCCAGTGACGGTTAAGGTAGTGTGTACCATACTTTCTTCGTCCGAGACTTTGCTGCAATGTGCAGCTCCTCATTTAACCCTCACACCCGATTTCTCGAGTATTCGGCTGAGTAGACCGGGGGGCTGCATAGACCACTCATGATCCTTAGCTGAACGTCGACGACGCTCACCCCACGACCAGGCAGTCAGTGGGTTTCGAACTCGCAACCTAACGATTGTAAGACAGGCGTTCTAACCAACTGCGCTACCTGGCCGATAAAATAGGTAATAATTATTTTAGTCTCTTGAGTCTTGACACCATTTTAGGGTTATACGGGTTCCTGCTAGTAGTGTTAATTGATCCAGTACGTAATATAGGGTGTTTAAGATGGTATATCAATATTTGCTCAATTTCAAACATGTGCACAGTGGGGCAGCATGGTGACATTAAGCCAAAAATTCATGTCTTTAAAATCTTTTTAAAATGGTTTTATCTTGTAGCCAGGTTGTAACTGAGTTCAAAACTTTTTGAATTATGTTTCTATCTCAATCCTAAGCCGAGTTATGGACCCTCAAAGTTGGGCGCTGGCAATATTTCAAATTTTGGCAGTGAAAATTAGAGTTTCATGGCATGCATAAGCATGCCAAATAAACCATCATGGTGCTTTTAATCCACGATTCTGCCATTCTAATCAACTTTCCTCATACTGGGATGATCACTGAGGAACGATTCTGGCCAAAATATTTGTCTTTCTGATGAAAATGGATTTTTGCCAGCCTTCTGGATGATATATCTGAAAATAAGCTCATTTTTGAGAGTAAATTTTTGGAATTTATCCATTTAAATTTGCTGATAAACCATAGCCGCTAATAGCCGCATATGTAGAGTACCTTAGAAGGTGTCCCAACATGCCTGCAACCATATAAAAGCCCCCTGAGTTCCGACAAGTTCCGACATTTTGAGGAAAAAATTTTTTTTTGGGTCCAGCCTCACGCTATTTCTCAGCCTTGAAAAGCTCACTGATAGACTAAAAACTGATTTTTTTCATCTATTTCATAGCTTTTTGGGGCACACTTCGATCTTTTATGCTAATACCAGCAAAGTTCAATAGGAATAAGTAATATTTGGATGGAAAAATAATGCGGATGAGCCAAAAATAGCCAAAATCTGGCAATTTGAGCTCGGAAATTCCAGGGCCGGGGCAACTCTGATTTCATAGGATTTTTCTTATGTTTTGGTCATATTGCAAAGTTTTTCTGGTTCTCCTTTCTGAAATACCATTAAACAATCACATCAGCATGATTGATGACTATTTCCATACGAAAAAGCAGAAAAATGGGACGGAAACCGCTTGAAATTGGATGAAATCTTAAAATTGCTAGTCAAAAAAGATGCTTTTTGTGTGACAGAAAGTGCCAAATTTTAAAAAAAATTGATGTTTTGCCCAAAAAAGTAGTGAAAGTTGTCCTATTTCACTGAAATAAGTTATAATTGACGATTTAACCCAAATTGACACCACCAAGATGTGGCCAGAGGCATAAAAAGGCAAAAAACCCAAAAGTCATAATGCCCTATTAGATTGCCCCACTGTGATGTGTAGATATCATCAAGAGTATGTGACAAAGTAAACTTGCTCTTTGCTTGCGACTATCTGATATTATAACAATTCCCAGCACTTACAGGTCATAAAGTAATCTTACACTACTCAGCATTCCTTATCAGGGTGCCCTAAACATTCCTCATATATTTTCTTACATGTGTGACGGAGTAAACCTGGGAGCACCATTTAACGAAAAAAGTCGTCAAATATGTAGGTAATGGTCATATGTATTGTGTACCCATCCTATCAACTGGACACTGTCACATGTTTATAGTGTATTTAGGCGATATCTTATCACCTGATAAAGATATCGTTGTGAGACAAAGTTTGCCTAGAGGATGAGACGATTATCCTTACCATTAAGGCCAAGGGTTTAAATAATTTCATAGTGTGACAAAGTCAACTACAACGTACTTTTTAAAAGGGTAACTAATATTTACCAATAACCTCAAACTCGAATGAACGTGTCCATTTATCTTAATTTTTAAAACACTTTGCTGATAAAAGGATACGAAACAAGATGGTACCCTATTTTGTAATTCTCTACACAAATCGAATGATCAAAATCTTTTGGAGTGCATTTTTTCTATCAGCCATCTAATCATAGAGTTCTACAATAAAATCCTTTAATATCAGTTCATATTTTCCATTCTTAGGCATATAAGCGATGATTCTACATGATTCTATAACAAAATTATGGTTGATGTCTCAGATTACTGTAATGAAAATGGGGCAATAAAATAGAAAATAGAGATACTAATCATTTCAGGCTGTTAGAATTATATAATCAAATTTAATTGAATTTGAATCAGATCTATGATTATTGAATCTCCCTTTGAGTCTGATTCTGAGGATTATCAACCCAAGCCTTGGATTTGCAACCGTCAAAATAAGGATATAAAAATCAATAATAAGTATAAATGTACCTGATATAAAGTCAATTAGCTTTTAGAGTACCACATCTTCAGGTTACATACATCAATAGCACAATAATACAGCATCCTGGGAGAAGATATATAGGGTTATTTACTTCATATATCATTATTTCTATTTAACTGTAATATACAGTAAAACCTTTATCTACTGGGCCTCTTGGGGGAAACGTGAAAATCCATTTCAGGATAAAAAGAATAAACCTTTAATTAAACTATCAAATATGGTTTACTACCCTCCCTTCACAACTTTTATTTGTCTACTCGAAGAAAGAGGATGCAAATTCTATCCTCAGCTTTTACACCAGTTTCAACTAAATGCAATTGCTCTGCCCGTTCCTGACGAAGCTGCTTTGGGAAATACACATTTTCTGAACACAATCAGTCCAAAAGCAGTAAAGATGAACAAAGAGGAGTAAAGAGAACATTATAATATGGCCCTAGGCCTGGGTGACGTAATAGACTCTTATTGTAGGATACAAGGATACAAGGATACAAAAGTGATAATTATTTTATTGAATTCACAATAGTTATAATTCTGAAATAATTTAAGGTTACACAATTCTAGTTATTTACAAATGTGTAGGGATAAAATAGAAATGTTTTATAATCCCTTTATAATACTATTTTTGAGGTCCTATAGCATTATGCATTGGCCAGTATTTGAGTGGAAATCTGGGCTCTTATAGTAGGCTGTAAAATTTTCGTTCACAGAGAGAATTGAATGGATTGCTCTTGCTGTGGCAGTAAATTTTGTAGGGTCTAGTGTTTTATCGGATAGCAAACCGGCTAGGTCAGTAATATTTTTTCCATCGCCTAAAAAGGCAATAGATGGTTAGAAGTGGTAGGATTTGAGAATGGGTATAGTGGGTATAGGTTTTTCGTCGTGTCACAAAGCAAAACATGCATTAACCTCCGCAAACACGTGCTCCTTTACAAATTATCTTTCGATGGTCGCGCGCGCATTTTACAATGCTTTTATGTCAAGGTGTACTCTATACCAAGAATCGAGCTAATAAATCGTGTACGGCGCGCATGTAGTAAAACAAAGTATTTTATTTAGTAAAACAAAGTATTTTATTTATTAGCAGTGCAATCAATTCATATGATATAATTATAAGAATATAATAGTATGTCACACCTATTTAACTGTTACGTTTGAGTAGTCGTGCCATGGCTAAATCTAACTAGGACCAGTGGTGTCGATTAACATTTAATAGGTGAGTCTAAGTGACACAAATGGAAAATTTTAAGAAAGGACGGATCAAAACACAGATCCAAGGACAAGGAGACCCCACTGCAGGACCATACATGCTATTGGCTTGTGCATGGCCCTATATGCATATACCATATATATGTATATCTCTTTTCGCTATTATACATTTTGATTCGCATTGATATTTGTCGTTTAAGCTTTCGTTAACTTCATGCGATACAAACTTCTCATTTTGTTGTGGGTGCTTGGTGCAACCCGATATTAGTAATCCGTTATGTTGTTGTATAAATTATGATGTTATGACTATCATGTTGAACATGATTGCCCATAGATTGATTCATTATATTTAGACGAAATGAACGATACATTTTATTATGATTCACATTGTATTAACTACCACAGATTTGATTGGGTGACATCTGTCCGACAGTCGAATTACCGGTTTCCGACAAGAGTCGCTGTCAGATAGGAGTCGTTTTTGGCGACATCTGTCCAACTTTCGGATCAAATTTGCAATTTCAGATCACGTTCGTATTTCACAAGCTCACGTGTAATCTTGTGACGTTGCTCCCACAGTCCTAATATAATGCTGATTTGATCCATTGAGATCTGATCCATCGATACGTGATTGACTATTTGAGGACAGGATCATGCTAGCCGTACACTAACAAGCTGTAACAAGCTGCCAATCACATCACAGCCTACATTACACACAGGAGAGCGGTATGGACTTGGAGATCAGTTATTTATATAACATTTAAACTATTGTCCAATTTTTGACATCAAATGAAAATAAACTATGGCAGAGTTCAGCTCAGGTCATATCTCAGTTCAGATCATGTCTCTAATTGGAAAATGGAAATGTGTCGTATTGCAATTAGATCACAATTTCGGACAGATGTCTTTTTTTTCTGGTAACATATTGAGTCGGACAAGAGTCGCTGTCGGACAGATGTCCTTTTAACTGCATCATGCATATCACCGCACAGGCTGCGCTACGGTGTCAGGTCGTTTAACTTTCGATTCAAATAATTGACAACGGCAACCCCTCCATTTTGTTCTTTGTAACGCCCCAAAGAAATTTGGTAATTTAACCAATATGAAACGATTGTTAATTGTAATTAATTACGGCGATGGAAATCTAGCGTCCACTAACCGGCGCAATTCTTGTTGGGATGGAAGTTAAATTTTTCTCTAACTGAGGAGTAGAGTAAACAGTCAGTTAGAACATGAATTTCGTCCTCAATAGGCTTAAGCCCCTTGCTGAAAAAGCAAAAAGTGCACCATCGATGTTCTCTTGGTACTAGGGGGGTTTCGTAACGGCCCCTCTCAATGTAAAGATTGTGGCAGCTAATACGAAACCTTGTTAAGCTTTTCCGAGCATCGGGGATCTTAACCACTCCTAAGTATGTTTCTGGTTCAAAATCATGTTTAATTTGATTGTAGAATTCTAATTTAGATGAGGATGCCTTGGCAGATTTCCAGGTATCCACAAATTCTTCCCTCATGTTGTGACTGATTTGGGTAGAGAGCTTGGATTTTGAAGAGGATGAGTGGGGGAAGTTATATTTGGTGAGAAGATTAGAGATGTTGGTGTACCAAGGAAGGCCCAGCATAATCTGCTCGTGAAATGCAGCGGAGAGAAGTTCATTTTCAGTGCTTTCAAGACGACTATAGAAATCTATTGCAAGTTTGCAGGCTTCAAAGAAGAGGGGGTGGCGCCCACTTTCACCCCAGCAGCCTATATTTGATGCTTTTGAATGGACAGACAAGGAACCACAAGGACCACTTGATAAACTTAAGGTGGAATCTTTCATAGTGGTCTTGTGAGATGTACCTGAGAGTATGCTGGGGGTTGGCTTTGCTATCTGTTTTTGGGACTTAGGGCAAGTAGGACAAGATCGTCAGCCCAGAGCAGATGTGATATTTAGGACGTCAGCTAGAATAGGATAATCACCAACAGATTTCAGGAGAGATGACAAGTCGTTGATATAGATTTTAAAAAGGTCCGGTGATAGGGGGTGTCCCTGCTCTGTTCCTTTTCCAATGTCAATATTAGGGGACAAGAGTTTGGAGATTTTTATATGAGCTATTGAGTTTCTATACATATCACTTAGGCAATTGAAGAAGTTTCCAGTATTATTGGGGGGGGGGTATTACTGTCCATTTTGTCCATTTTGTCTTTGTCTTTTTTTACATTTTTTTGTGAAGGACAGTGTTTTGTGGACAAAATGGACAATGTAGGGACAAAAGGGACAAAAGGGACAAAAATTTTGGACAAATGAGACAAAAAATTAAACAAGCTCAAATGTAGAGTAAAACAAAATTTAGTAAAACAAAATTTTTATTTACCACAAAACAACCAATACATATTTAATATTATTATACATTTATAAATAAATATAAATCTAAATTCAGCTATATACTCAATACACAGCCCGCCGCGCACACAGCCACACATTGCTCAGAAATTCTCAGGTGCAGATGTAAGCGCCGCGCGCGCGAGGTTTTTTATCTTACAATTACATGTTACGATATATTATTATATATTATTAATTATCAAAGAATTTTAGAAGCAAAATAATTATTGCATATTGGGAAAATTTCGGTCGTTAACGCAGTTAACGTGAGCGCAACTTGAGCAAAGCGCAACTTGAGCAAAGCGCGAGCGCATGCGGAAAAGGATCGCGTAGCTAGTCAAGATGTTGATAAATATTTGGCTTGTGGCGCGATGTGTTGCTCTAACTACAGCCCTCTTGCTTGTAGTAGCGCGCGACCGACGGAGGCGGAAATGACTTGTGGAACAAGCGCGCCCGCAGCGGCGCGAAAGCACTTGGTTAGCTAGGTGAACGCGATGTGCCTTGTAAAATGAAATCCTACTAGCTGACACCACTCGCAGCTGTGCTGCTCGCTGTACGTCAGCGATCGAAATTTATACGCGTATCACCCATCATAATTAAGATGTGCCACCCGACGCGCCACGCAATTTTTCTCGTTGCTCGTCGCACGTCGACGAACAACGAAGCTCGTTGCGACGCGCCGCGCAATGAGCTGCGGCGAGCGATTTTCTCCAAAAATTTAATGTGGGCGCCGACTTCCACTCTGGCTAGATTTCTTTTTACCCAGCGCGCGTTCCTTAATGGGATGAGGTAAAATTAGGTAAAAAGAATCCACTGACTTCCAATGACTACAATAGCTTGTAGCCGCTAACATAAAAGCCGCCGCGCGCGCCCAGTGCTGGGGTGCATTCTCATTAACAATTAAACTTGGTCAAACATATTTATATACAGTTCCTAAATTAAATCAATAATCATGTTAATATGAGTATTCAACACTACTCGACAACAAATATTTGCCGGCCCATCGACGATTTAGTCGCCGAAACAAAAATCAAACGTTTGCTTTTTCGTTTCGGGAACTGTTTGAACTCAGTACTATATCCGACTAATCATACTTTACAATGGTTAAAAAACCAAGCCAAGTAGAAAGATTTTCCTCGATGGGCCGGCATTCGCAACCGCGAAACTTTTTGAGTACGACAAAAGAAGCTAAATGTAAACAACTGTGGAACAAGAAGGAACGCTTCCTCAGACACAAGAAGCATAAAGAATCGACAACCTGTACCCTATCGGAAATCAGCGACTTCTCTTTACTGTCCATTTTGTCCCTGTTATGTCAATTTGTCTCGTTTGTTGACCATTGTTAATGGTCTGGCCCGGCGCGCGCTACTTCGTAGCACTTGCCGTTTCGAGAAGAAATCGGCGCGCGCTACTTCGAAGAAATTTAGACGAGTAACATCCGTCAACTCGTTTGTCTCTGTCCTTTTTGTCCATTTTGTCCATTTTGTCCCCGCC